TATTGGTAACTGAAAAAATAATCATGGAATTATTCTACCAGTACTTAAAATATTGAAACTATCAACTATGTTTTTAAATATTTGTCCACATATTTTGTACTTCTATGTAGACAGTAAGCATACTTATACAATTGATAATTGATGATAAAAGTATTGAACCAGACATTTTCTGCATTCCATATTGATTGAATCCACTCTTGTTTACATTTGCTTCAAATGTAAATGATTCAGCACTTATATCTCTCACTAAATTTTTTATAAATTGATTCTCACAATCAGTTAATATAAAACTATTGAAAGTAAAAGTAGCGACAGACAATGTTTACATTTTGTTTATTTGCTGTTATAGTAATACTCGTCGGCCTCCTGTTTCCTCTCACTAGTCCACTGGTTTCAGTGGTTTCGAATCCCCGGTTGTACGTGGCAAGGAGTAGGGTCGCCTGTCAAACCTCGTGGGTTTTCTCCGCGTCCTCCGGTTTCCTCCCACTGCTAAAACCCCTACGCGCAAGTGAATTATTGAAATAAAATTAAACCATATGTTAGTCCCGAAATGACCTAGTTTGTGTCGAGTGGACGTTAAACCCCTTCTCTCTCTCTCTCTCCACTGGTTTCATCCCATGCTAAAGATTCATATATGTGCAAGTAATTTAATGAAATAAAATTTACCAAATGTTAGTCGCCAAATGACCTAGTTTGTGTTGAGTGGATGTTATACCACATATCTCTCCTTACTCTCAAAATAAATTTTAAAGGGTGACATGCTTTACCTAGTGAGTTTCCTCAGGGTTTCCCACTTAAAGATCCCATCATACTCCTCACAGTGTTTCGTTTAATTATACCTAATCCCACTTAACACTGCTGTAAAGGAAGCAAATTTCTGTTCCAATTTTTTTTAATTATGACTGGTCAATAGTCCGATTAACAACCAATAGCTAACTGCGTAACAATATCATTACGATTTAAACAGAGCTCCAAATTGGACCAAATATGTTTACATAACGTGACGTCACGACTCACAATTTTATTATGCCCAATTAACCAGTGCATAGCAGAATATTTCAGAAAAACTAATTACTGACAAGCAAGGCTATCAAAACGAATACAATGTAAACAATAATGTTTGGAGACAAACAATACTTTCACAGTTTTATATACCTTAAACATACATTATGCAAAAGCTAAATCTGCCTATTGCAGGTCTTTCTTTAGGCTTGAAATGTTATCTAAATTATTAATTAGACATTAATTAACTTATCCAGACCATAATCAACTGTCGATGTCAATGCTAGCCTGCGATATTTATTGGATTAGAATCCGATGAACCGATTTGGTGCTCAACATTCATTCATGATTTAATCAAATTTTCGGCAAATTGCCTTTACATTATCTAGTTTTAAATTATTATAGTGAGAACTGCCAGCTCTTTATCTAATCTCCCATAATGTATCTTTAAATCACTGTCCAAAGTTTTAGGGTGGAACCCCAGATTAAACGAAGGGCTGTCATGTTTCTGTACTTGGGATAGATTTGATTGAACAGGAAGAATAGACACACTCCCTCAAAAGCTCAAGTATCAGAAGCCAATCCGGCAAAGGCCAGAGAGGGATTTCTCAGGCCATTGCTTCAGGAATATGTAAAGACCGCTGCGTGCATGTGAATTATTGAAATATTGTGTAGTGTCGAAATGACATGGTGTATTGTCAAGTGGACATTAAATCCCATTACATTATCTTTTTATAAAGTGTTGAGTTAATCTGTTATTTTAAGAAAGCAGGGGACTATTAATATGGGTTCTTCTTTAGATATCACTTCGATGGAAACAGACGTTAAATAAAGCTATTTCACACACACAATGTTCAAACTTGGTTTAGTTGTTATTAGGTGAATGCCTTGGAACACAAAATTAATAACTTTCTTTCTAATTGAGGTAGAATTTTCAAACTTGGTGAACATGTTCGTTAGGTGAATTTCCAGCTCAGGCTAAGCAATGATAAGCTATTTGATTCTAACTTACTTCTATTCAAGTTTAATTACATCAATATCTGGATAAAGTTTGATAATGAGTATTTTCTGATGGTAATCAATTATATTACTGAATACTTTGCAAAAAGATAAATGAGCAGGTAATTAATGAATGTCATCTGTTTAGTTCGAGATTGAGGTGAGGGACTCACTGTTTGCTCGTTTTTTTTGAGTGATAAAATCTGACTTTTTTAATATCAAATATATCAATAGTCATTCATAAGGTCAAAATATTTGGAAGAGGTTTATCTACTTGTTTTGGTATATATTTAATGACAAAAAAACTCTCTATAAGTTAAGATCACGCAAATGCATACTGTAAATAGATCTTAAAAGATAATTTTTTTTTCCTCTCTAAGATTTTATTTCAGCTATAAATAACCTAGGTGAATATTCATTGAACCATTTATAGGTCGGTTCAAACTGTATATATTTATATCTGTTTATTGGGAATTAATAATTAATCAAAAGTACTTGTATTCATTTACTCATATTTAATTTTGATTTGAACATTTTAGCTGTAGGTTTAAGAGGAAACAAACCTCAGATGCTCTATAATTGTTTTGAAATATATATATCAGTTAACTTGTTATTAAAATGTGTCTGTCTGTTCGTCTGTTTGCCTGTACGTCACACTTTTTGGGACACAATAACTCTCCTTCTAATTGAGCTAGAATGTTCAAACTTGGTGTAGGTGTTTATTAGGTCAATGCCTTGATGGAGTTCGAAGATGAGCACTTTCTACTGAGAGTAAGCAGAGATAACCAATTTGATTGGTTGATGCTTTGGGATACAATAACTTTAGTTTTAATTAATTGAGACTGAAGAAACTTGGTGTGTAGGTTTATCACATCAATACCTTGACTAAGTTTGATAAGGAGCACTTTCTGCTCAGGTTAAGCAGAGCAATAAGCAATTTCATTGGTCGAGACTTTGGAACACAATAACTCTCCTTCTAATTGAGGTAGAATGTTCAAACTTGGTGTAGGCGTTCATTAGGTGAATGCCTTGATGTAGTTTGATGATAAACATTGTCTGCTTAAGGTAAGCAGAGATAAGCAATCTTATTGGTTGATGCTTTGGGGCACGATAACTTTGGCTATGATTAATTGAGAGTGACGAAACTCTGAGTATAGATTCATTATATTATCACCTTGACTAAGTTTGATGATGAGAATTTTCTGCTTAGGCTAAGGAGCAATAAGCAATTTGATTGTTCAAGACTTTGGAACATAACAACTCTGCTTTTAATTGAGGTAGAATGTTTAAACTTGATGTAGATGTTCATTAGGTGAATGTCTTGACTGAGTTCAATGGTTAACATTTCGAGCTAAAAGCTAAGCAGAGCTAAGCAATTTCAATGATCAATGCTTTAGGACAAGATAACTTTGATTCTATCTGATAGAGAGTGATAAACTTAGTGTATAGTTGACAATCAGTTTGATTGCTTGATACTTTTGAAAAAAATAAATGTGTGATTTAATATGTGTCATCTATTTATTTTGGGATTTCGGCGGGGGACATCACTGTTGGCTTGTTTAAATAACCAAATCAGAGCACTAAAAATCTACCTTAAGAATGGGTTGGCGTATGTGAATAAATTAAGGATTCTAACCGTAATATTGTGAGCTCAGACAAATTAAACTGATGTCATGAACTTAACAGAAACGAAGGTAAACTTCAGGCCTTTACTTAAAAATGAAGAATAGATTGATTTGCATAATATTTTGTGTGTATTTTTGGTAAGAGTAATAATGTATGATAGATTATTGTATTAGACCTATATTTGAATTTTATTCTGGCATGTTGTCCCTGTTTGATATTGTCATTAATGATACTATTTAAGCACTTTGATATTTCCAGCTATAACATGATTATAATGTAATATAAAATAATATATTATTGTATCTATGTATGTTCAAATGTAATATTACATGTTTTAATGTAAAAGATAAAGTATTTAATCCAGTATTTAGTGTTAGTATACTTGTCTGGTCAATATATTAGTACATTATTCTGTATCCAATTGTAATTCAATCATCTTAATACTACTTATCGTTTTTTTTTTTCATTTACATGTAGGATTAATACTTTGTGATCTTGATACAATTTTTTTTAAATGATTAGGGAATTTAGATGGGTGTGTTACAGATTAGATCACAATATTTATTGATAGTAGAAACAAAATTTGATCACGATAAATTGATAGCCGATTAGATCGATTTTGATTTGGTAATTCATGTTTTTATACTAGAGTTTTGGATATGAATGCTTTCGAAGATGACAGTACCGGAAAATGTAATTACAAAATGGGAAGACTTCAAAAGCAATTTAATGGCTTATAACTTTTTTTTATCGTATCCACAAGCTTCTAACCACAATATGCGGGCCAGTAAGAAATGAAATTAAATGAAATGGGGTTTAACGTCCTACTGTTCTGCTTCTAACCTGGGCTAATGAAGACAGGCATACGCCATACAGTATGCTATGAGGGAAATTTTGCCCGGGCAACGGCCTACTCTTATATCAAATTCCAACTGCCAAGGAATCTTTTACGTGCACGCCAATGTGTACACGGGACCTCGGTTTTCCGTCCCATCCGAACGACTAGACAGCTGTCCTTGTCAGGCCCTCCGTCCTGCATCTCTGACAAGGGGAAACCACGCCGGAAAATGGCCAGTAAGAAAACAGCAATTTTTAATAACAAGTATGAAAAGGAAGGAAGCGCCTTCCTTGACACAGAAAAGGGGCACTCCTTCAGTACATGTATGTATAAAACGGTATGTTAACATTTTACATTATGGACTGTTAAAATAGGGTCAGGAAATGTTGAATTTTATTCAAAAGGTTAAAGAAAAGGTATGCTAATTATGAGTTGTTCTGTTTTAATTTGCATGAAAATTAATCCATAGTACGATGAAATATTCATGGTCAGTTAATAGTCAATAATACTTATATTGTTATGCTGATAATTACAGGAGCCATCCAGATATAATTTTAGTGAGTACAACTGGTTAATTGTATTTGAGAGACATGTAAAGAGTCCAGGTATAAATGTCTATAATGGTAAGTGTTTATCACAATCATCAAGTCATTCCAACAATTACAAATGAATGAACATATTTTTAGATTCTGTTAGGTATTGAGGATAGGGTGGAAAGATGGCTGGAAATAACAGCAAGTGACATTTTCTGGCCCCTATCCCCACTTTCAAGTGAAAGCAATTTTGTCTCTTGTCACAACTAAATGATTGTCCATAAAATTAACTGGCAGGGGATGATGTATTTTATGCATTGTCAATGTGTCGAAATAATTTCAATGATCGTCATTTTCATTGAATTTGCATTTTTGTTTGGCTGCCTGTTACATTTGCCAAAAATCGCTGACAACTTGACTTCTGATACTTATCCATTCTTTTTTTAACAGTAAACAAATCATTTGAAAAAATGATGGATGGGGAATAAATGACATGCATACTAGCTAGAGGCTAGGAATTGGAATGCATGAAATTGATTAATAGTGATAATGTCACTAGAAGCTTGAGCAACTTTTAGGCCACAAAAAGGATGTGTTTGAGTGTCACTTTTTAAAACGATTGAATTTGGGAAGTGAGAGATAGTTGTACATGCAAGAGTGGATCAGACTCAGGTGCCACCAAAGAAGTTATTGCTCTCATAGTTTTGGGATCTCAAGATGTATGAAAGCACCAGCAGATAGTCACTTTTTTTTCCAAATCCCCCCCCACCCTATAGTGATGGCCCCTTGTAAAGCCAGGGACCTTCAACCCCCTGACGAGGCACCTACGACGCCTGGTTTGTCCCTTGAGTGGATTGAGCCAGCTGCTTATTAAAATCTAGGCCTTGGTCCACCAGATAAAATTCTCTATATTGAACACTTTGAAACCCAACTACTAATATTCATTTCAACACACACATACCTCTTTCCTAAAAGTAATGAATACTTTTTCATAATAATAACAGACTCATGTAGATAAATTTCAAATAAAAACAATTTTATAAATTTCATGATAAAATGAATGATATTAATGATATAAAATGACTCTTGTAGAAATGCAAATATTTACATAATAAATAAAAAATAACAGCACCTTTTGCATCAGTCTGTGTTACAAAAGAATATGTACACATTTTTTGTACAAAAATAACTTTTCATGTCAATGCCTGAATAACATAAATAAACAAAAATTTGACACAATATTCAATAATATCTAATGGAGTAACCCACTATTCTGAATACAGCTCAACAAATGATTTTCAGAAAGACAGATTAATATATATTTGTATCAAAACATCACAATATCTTAGCACTGTTATTATTAAGCCATCAACTTCATCACATAAATTATATTAAATGTCCAACAATTTAGCTAATAGTTTATTTTTATTTATATGTCTCTTAGTCAGAATGAAATATTTTGTGTCATCATAATTTGACAACCACCATTCACATGATCAATAATTTGTCTTTTTAGTTTACACACTTGATCTCGTAAAGTATTGGCAGTTTTAGAAAGTTCATCATTTTGATCTTTTAAACAAGTAACACGATCTTCAAGTCGGTTAATTCTTTCCAATTTTCGTGTTCTGCATTTTCTTGCTGCCACTCGGTTCCTTGCGCGCTTTCTGTCTATTTTTATACGTTCTTGATTTTCCATGTCTATGGGTGACATGGGCGGATTTGAACTGATTCCAGAAAAACATGGCACTGTTTGTGGTTCCTCTTTAAACTTGGTTAATAAAAGTGGACTAGAAGATGATCTTCGGTTATCGTGAGATTTATTATGTGTTGAGGTACTGAGGTTGACGAGACCTCCGGGTAACGATGTGGTGGTAGTAAAAACTTGTGAAGTAATTGGTACGGAACTGCTAAGACTGAGAGAATGTTGACTGGCAGTTGAAAATGGCGCACTAAGTGGCGGAGATTTTGAGTTAACGTCTTCGTCGCCATGTAATTCTTCCAAAGCAACGACAAACCCTCTAGCATAGGCTTCTTGTTCTTCTGTCACAAATTTTGGGAAAATAAACTGTGTCGGAGTTGGTGTAGTTGTTACCATTCCGTTAGCTTGAATTATCATTTTCTCCAATTCGGGCGAAGCCAATTTCAACATATTTAAATCTGGCGACTGAAGTAAATTTGTGAATTTGGTCCTTTTGGTATTATCCGATGAAGAATTAAAATCTAAAGACATGCTTTCTTTCAATTTTTGAACAGATGCCGGTGCTGCCGGTGGTCCATTTTTCTTGTAAAATGGTACCTTTCTTTTAAGTCCTTCCCGGCCGATACAGGGATTTTCCTCGTGATAAAAAGTAGTATCCATCTTCGTAAATGTTCAAAGGGTGAACTGTTAGTGTCACAACAAAATATTAAACTGACACGCTCGGATCTCTGTTTACAGGTATGTTCGTCTCTGATTGAGTCTGACTCACCAGTAAAGTGGTTTTCTCAAACACAACATATATATTATTTGAAATCGAGATAGATGTCTTCTCTCTTATGTTTAACGTGGTTATATTGTAAACTACTAGCGAACGTCTATTTAACAGATGAGTCAGACTACTATAAATAGAATGACATCACCGTTTTAGAATTCCATTGGTAGAAAATGACATCATTGTCTCGTGACCGAAGACGACGGAAAGTTCATTGATTGGTTATAGAAAATGAACTATGGGTAAATTTATTTTGTATATCCAGTCTTTTTACTCAATATAGCGTTGGATAGTACGTCTGGATAAGCAAATAGTTGTGACGTGCGACCCACAGCAGAAATTGCGTAGTAATAATACCTTATATGGATGAGGGGATTTCCGCACTATCTGCTGATGACTGGCAGTGCCTTCTCAATGTTTAACAAGTTGAACAACACCCAAACAAATAGAGACTAGCCTACCAAATAAACCCCAAGGTCCTAGGTTTTAGAACGCAACTGTTCTCAAGAAATTGCTATTACCTTTTAAACAACGATTCTCTTATTATTGCAACCCCGACGCGGTTTTATCCCGCTTCTTCAAGTTAAACGGTGTCATATTTTAACTTCGAAGTTGGGTCCGCGAAGGTGAAACTAAGAAGAGTTATTATTTTGACCCCACTTCTGAAGATGAGGTACTTTATCTAGTCTACAGGTCAATTAGAAAATGTATGACAATCTAATAATCTATAGATAATTGCCAATTGGTGTCACGTAGGGTGTGTTATTGTTGGTACCATCTTACCACGACATGATCGACCGGCGAGGTTGGGATTGTCAGGGATTCCCAGTTCACTCAGCACTGCACGATAACGAGGACAGTTATCTATTTCTGTAAGAGTGAGTCATTGCTGCGTGCCCGCATGGAAAAACCAGCCGTCAATAAGATCAAGGCTGTTAGTTAGGCTACATGAGTAGAAAAGACGTACAACATATGATCTAACTTACTTCGACTGGAGGGAGTTGGGTCCAGAATAGGGAGGTAGAATAAGAGTCATGAAAAAATAAAATAAACTTGCCAGTAAGCCTATAGTATAGCGGTTCCGGGATTTCTGACATGCCATATATGTACTATGTAGGCCTATTGATCATAGTGTGACTATAAACACGCCAATGTCAGTATGATGAACATGGACCTTATTTATAAGGTCCATGGTATGAATGGGCTCTTGTACAAACCGAAAAATTATCAGTGAGATCTATATGAAATGTCCCAGATACTAGAACTTCAAAGTCAAACAAAATTCTTTCAATTCCACGAATTTATTATTTTTTTTATCCCATCCAAATGACTATAGACAGACACTGTTCCTTGCTGTAGGTCCGACAAGGGAAACCAGGTCGGAAAATCTTGAAAAACTTTATTGGTCAAATATCACAGGGGATCTTTGATTAGGGAGCCAGTGCCTCATGGCATGCACTGAGTCACGGCATCTCCCAGAAAAAGAATGAAAAAGATAGTTTTATTTTGATTCAAATTCGACCAACGGTTCTCAATCTTTTCCCACCAAAATATTGAAACACCCCACTGGTGCAGCTTGTGGCCCACCCCGTGGAACACTAATTTAGAGAAACTAGGTTTACTTTTTATAACTGTTGAGTCTGTATATAACCCAAGTCTTCAAAAATTAAATTAATAAGCATAAAACTGTTTTCAAACAAACGAATAGCCAGAATTAACTCTAGGATGATTAAGAAGATTGTAAGTGTAGGCTATAATTTAATATTATATTACGATTAGGCCTACTTTAAGTCTCAATTCAACAAAGACTCTTTTAGTAACTTTTACCATGTTTTTCAGATTCTTATTTAATTTTTGTTAAGACCAATCTGGATTAGGCCTACAATAATGTTTAATCATCAAAGTCTACTTTCCTCATCATCCCTGTCGTCAGTTAACCAGAGAAAGGAAATGGACACCTCGAGTGATACTGAAATTATCAGACCCGAGGACATTACAAGTATCAGAACTGCTGTAGAAGAATCGTCTACTTCAGATAGTGAACAGGTATGATGAACTGCAATTTAGTTCATGTTCGCCATTGATTCAAGAGTTGAGTTCAATCAAGAATTAATGACTTTTTCCACAGTGTTAGGCATACTGCACACAGCGATCCATCTACTTCATACCTTGTTCTCAGACGGAGTTAACTGTAGACAGGCAGCCTATTAAGTTTGGGATGAGTGTTAGTAAGAGAACAAAAATAATCTGATGTTCAACACAGGAATAAATGTAATTTTAATGTAAGATCTTAGATAAACATATATTTGCCTAATTATCTTTTAAAACTGTTTTGGACATTAAGTTTTGGGGGAGAAAAAATGTGACCAACGGTTGTTGTATCATATTAGAAAATGATATATAAATGTATTTACTTATGATTTTCCTTGTTTTTTCTCTTTCAGTTGTATCTAAGTATTGTATGGTGTAGTGGAAAGATTGGACTAGCTTATTATGATGTAGATACTTTACAAATAAATATCATGTTAGATACAGTTGAGAATGATGACTTTGCTTTATTGAAGAGAGGTATCTGAAAAAAAAAAAAAATGATCTCTTATTAAAATAAACTTGTTACTGACGGAGTTATCTGCCTTGAATGCATTAAAAAAAAATGTAACCAAATTGTAGCTCCAGTTCTAGTTTAACTGGCTTCTGAAAAAAAAATCCAGCCACCCTCCAGTGAGCTATCAGTATTGAAGTGTGTTGTGTGCACGAGACAGGGTATGCTTACCTTTTCTGTAACATTAGATGCCATTTTTGAATTAACATAGCTTACAAATTTGTGTTGTACTTTTGCATTTGAACCACTGGTCGGTGACTTTGCTGGTCCCTTTGGTCCTTTGGTTGCAACCTTAAACCTAGTAGACTTCAGCTTTTCAATTTCAGGTCCAAACTGTCACTTCACAATAAGTAGTGATATGTGTTGTACATGAAACAGGGTACACTTATTTGTTCTAGAAAATCTTACGGATACCACTTTGCATTTGAGGAGTTCAAAAGCTAACAAATGTACTATATTTCCATGTTCACACACATAAAGAACCTCTAAATAGCATATAATCTCGATAGACAGATGACAAAAATAATATTATAGATTCATACTCTTGTTATTAATACTGTACCTAATGATATCTGTATCTGTACAAGTAAGAATAACTTATGATAGATAAATCTAGCTTTGCTAATGTTTGAAATATGTAAACAAACTGTATGTCTATTCATGATTTGAGTATATAATGTGTATACTGTATATTACATGTAAAGGGGGGTTGGGATGGCCTAGTGGTCTAGAGTGTCACGCTTCGACCTCTAGTTGGCCGGTCACCTCTGGCTTGCGGCTGTGGTTTCGATCCCAGGTGTGAGCGTATGTGGCTTGGAGATAGGGGCGCCTTCTCAACCTCGTGGGTTTACTCCGGGTACTCCGGTTTCCTCCCACAGCAAAGACCCCTGCGCGTGCGCTAAGATCATTAAAATGAACTTGTCTGCGATATCACCTTCGGTGGAAGCGGACGTTAAACGCTAAGAACAACAACAATTACATGTACTTCCAATTAAAAGAATGGTTAGATAATATGATTTACTGATTTTCAGCTATAAAACAGATTGAACCCACTGCAATTATCCTTAGTTCAAAACAAGATGATCGACTGGTTAAATCATTGAAGCAAACCGGTAAGATCATTTCTTGTAATTTATTTATGATAATAATCCCTAAATAAACTGGTTGTGCTAAAGATATTATAAAAGAGCTAAATCTGCCTATTGCAGTTTTTTTCCTTTTTTTTCATGCTTCAACTTCAAATGTTATGTAAATCATTGTTTACACATTTACTTACAATAATCAACTCTATACACTATCAGATGGCTGAGTTATAGAGTGGATTAGACAATGTCTTCCATATCTTCGATAAACGTTAAAATGGACAATCATTTATTATCGTAGCAATGGTACTTGACAATCAAAACTATTTATTAACGCTATTTCTTGTCAAAACTTTAAACATTCATAATGTTGCTCAGAATAAAGTAATTTGACTAAAATTTTCAATATATATATATTCATTTTTCATTGTCTATTTTTATACACCCATATTTTCACGTGGACATATATGGTCGTTGCCCCTGTCCATCCTTCCACAATTTGTTTGTGGACACTACAGGTCGCAATTCTTATTCGATTTTGACGAAAATTGAAATATAGGTTTATCTCCAAAAGATCTCTGTTCCTTTGATATTGGCAGGTATCGATCGAAACTTCATGGATTATGGTCCCTGATTGTACGAAAAATCATATTTTTAGCTTGTGGACACTTGAAATGCATGTTTATAACCCAAAGATCTTGGTTCCTTTCGATATTTGCGCATATTAAAGCGTAACTTCCTGAATTATGGCCTTTGATTGTAAGATGGTTGAGCTCGAATTTCGTGAAAATCGGACCAAAACTGCCAGACTAAAATGGCCGTCCCTTGTTCGCAAATAGTATGGTATATCCAGGTTGTGGACCCTCTAGAGACCACAATTTTGATCCGATTTTGATGAAACTTGAAATACATGTATTTTACCCCAAAGATCTTGGTTCCTTTTGATATTTGCGCATATTGGATCATAACTTCCTGAATTATGGCCCTTGATTGTACGAAAAATCATGTTTTTAGTTTGTGGTTCCTCTAGAGGTCACGATTTTTATCTGATTTAAAAACATGTTTGAATATATCACCATTACACCCTTATGATGGTTGAGTTTGAATTTCATACAAATCGGAGCAAAACTGCCAGACAAAATGGCCGCCCCTTGTACACAAATTTATATTGTAAATATATGGTATATCAAGGTTGTGGACCCTCTAGAGGACAAAATTTTGATCCGATTTTGATGAAACTTGAAATACATGTTTATAACCCAAAGATCGGATCGTAACTTACTGAATTATGGCCCTTGATTGTGCGAAAAAATCGCGTCTTCAGCTTGTGGTCCCTCTAGAGGTCACAATTCTTATCCGATTTAATAAAACGGTTGAATACATCACTGTTAAAACCCTAACAATAGTTGAGTTCGAATTTCGTGAAAATCGGACCAAAACTGCTGACAAAATGGTAGCCCCTCGTACGCGAATATTGTAAATATATGGTATATCAATGTTGTGGACCTTCTAGAGGCCACAATTTTGATTCAATTTGATGAAACTTGAAATACATGTTTATGTCCCAACTATCTCAGTCCATTTCGATATTCGCGCATTTCAGACTATAACTTCCTGGATTATTCCCCTTGATTGTACGAAAAATCGCTTTTTTTTTTCAGTTTGTTCTCTATCCATCCCCTGCAAAATGTGGGCGTATCTTGACTGGCAACTGCTGGCTAAACTATTATAGCAAGAATGGGCAGCTCTTTTATCAAAATCTTACATAACTTTACGTATCTTTAAGTGTACATTAAAGTAGAGCTATCCTCAATTAAAAAACATATTAAAATGTAGAGAACATTAATTTATAGTGTGATGACCAGCAAAGAAAAAATCTTTGTGAAGACAATAACTTGCCGTAAATGACGTATTCCTTGGTGAAAGGTCTCCAAATGTCTTACATTATTCCAAAAATTATATCAATAATTTAAATATTAAGACTAGTTTTCTGTGCAGGCTACAATCTTAAATAATTCTGAACAACTGCAGTTAATGAATAATTATAGCAATTACATCTTCTTCAAATGAAATGTGATCATATATTGTCATCACCCACATCCGTCCGTTGATCTGTTTGTTATCTGCTGTCCACAACTGTTTCATATTTGGATTCCATAGTGAATAAACTCCCATAAGTCTCCCAATATGAACAAGTTTCTCAATTTATTATTTAGTGCATGAGGTTTACAGCTCTAAAATAAAGACTGATGGTTCAGATCAAACTGAGATAGCAGAGATAATACAATATATGCCAAATATTGATTTTTGTAAGTATTTTTATACAGATCAACAACCTTTCACTATTTTAGCATAGATAGGGGCTCCAACGTCTGTTGTGGTTGAATGTAAACAAAAATCATTGTATTCACGTTAGTGAACATAATGGGTAATGTTTAAATTATCGATGCACAACATCATCTATAACAATCTACATTGTTTAGATTTTTCAATAATATATCTTTTTTGAGTCATTGTCTTTTTATACTTTCACTCTTTTCAAAGCAGGGGGTTGGGTGTACGTGCCCAACCTTGTGGGTTTTCCCCAGGTCATCCAGTATCCTGACGCTGACAATGATCTGTACTCATCAGAGAATTATTGGAATAAATTTGAATCATATAGCCGCAAAATTACCTGGTTTGTATTGAGTGGACGTTAAACCTCATTTCCCTGGTTTCTCTTTTCAAAGCATGACATTAGCAAGGTTACGTGTATTTATGAAGAATGATAACCCTTGTTATTTAAGAATAATTAAACCAGAATTTAGAAATAGCTGAATACACTGACAATACTGTCTGATACTGAAGTGTTCTCTTCTCTACAGCACTTGAAATATGCAAGAGACGAATTCTGTCCCTAGATTTACCTGCTATTCCAAAACATTACACTGATACAGAGAGAGTTTTGTTCATGTCGTCTTTGATATCATTTGATAATATTGCCATGGTAGGTTTTATATAATTATTGTATTTATTAAGTTCTCTACTGTGCTGTGCATGTAAATAAAAAAGAGAGTATCCTTCTTGATTAAATTTGATACTTTCTCTTTAAACATTACATTCTTAGAAAAATATTAATGTTCATAATGTGCTAGTTATTGGTATAAGACACACATGATGAGGTACAATTTGTTTTGTTTTTTTACCTCCATCCGTATGGAAGTCAAAACGTAGTATAAGACGAATGCTGGACTTCTGCTGAAAAAAGTACAATTTGCTGGGGGTTTTTTACCTCCATCCGTATGGAAGTCAAAACGTAGTATAAGACGAATGCTGGACTTCTGCTGAAAAAAGTATCGACCTTTACCCTGAAAAATAGGGTAATTTTGGAGGTGACTTTGAACAAAAGTACGGGTCGACAGTAGTCGGCACGCTTTCATTCTATCGTATTACGACAACACGTAATTTTGTAGGAATATTACTGACATAAATTTGAATACCGTATGGGAATTAAATATGAAAAATAAGGACGCACACCTATTTTTTTTTATTACGTACAAAATTGTATATTTTGTTGACACATGATTTTTAATTGCGGTCTAAAACCGCCTGCTTAAATAACGATAAGAGTTATGCCCCTTTATTTTCTGTGAAAATGTCCGACAAGAAAATTTTTGAAATCCCATCACTGGGTACAAACATCTTGTTATTTTAAGTCCTTTAATGTATGTTTGATTTTATAATGTAAAACCTTTGTATAAATTTTGTAGGTTAAAGCTATAGGTGGTGTTATTAAGTTTTTGGAGAAAAAACGAATTGGGGTTGAATTAGAAGATCACAATGTTCAAGTACCTGTATTAGGATTTAAAGTGTTTTCATTGTAAGATATATCTTGGTTTTCATAGATTTTTTTTTTATTACTTAGTTGATTTTTAAAAGTGCATTCTGAAATAATGTATGCTTATTATTATGTGGATAATGGTTCAGATTATGATAGCAAAGAAAGTTGTTACTGAAATGTTTTGTTTTATTTCGTCTAATTAGTAAAATAATATGTACTAATAATTGTGTAGCAATAATATTTTCATTAAGCGTGCACATTGTATCATAAGGACTGTCATTGAATCAACTGGCGTGATTTCGATTCCCCGGTTGTACGTGACAAGGAGTGGGGTCGACTGTCCAACCTCGTGGGTGTTTTCTGGGTCCACTGTTGTGTATATATGGTCACTCTTATTATACACGACGATATTTTAGGGTGCGCTAGTGTCACCAGCTGTGAAATTAGTTATTTTAGCGTTAAATTAGAACATTTGCTAGATTTAAAAATTTAACTCTAAAATGGATTATTGAGTGTCAAGTACCATTGCTATGATAATAAGCAGTGACCGCCCTAGACATTCGCCAATGGCGACAATTATTTTTATTGGCGAATAAAGTGATGATACTGGCGAAAAATTTGGCGAATGAATTTTAGAGAGCTTTATTTCGTAAATCTGCTAATATTAAACTTGAAATCGTCTCGTTCAACGCTTCTTTCGATCGACTCCCAACCTCGTGGGTTTTCTCCGGGTCCTCCGGTTTCCTCCCACTGCTAAAGACCCCTACGCGCAAGCGAATTATTGAAATAAAATTAAACCATATTTTAGTCCCGAAATGACCTAGTTTGTGTCGAGTGGACGTTAAACCCCATTTCTCTCTCTCTCTTTTGATCGACTCGATGGAGTGTCTATTTTTAGTACATTAATTACTCTAATCTCAATCTTACAAAGCTCAAATCTGTCAATGTTACGCATAAAAACGACTGAAAGATCGAGTCTCGAGACTATAAAAGACAGTTACGCCCCTTTTGTGTGGCACTGCGTTGTTTGCAATCGCTTCACTACAAGTTTTCTTTACTTAACTTACGCAGCAAATAAATAAAACGCACAATAATGACAACTAATACTAGTAAACCCAAAATAAGGTTAGATTCCTTTTTCCTTCCTACGACTACTGTTAGTCCAGAATCTACTTCCGTAAGTGAGAGTGTCATCTCGGACGCAAGTCCTTCGTTGGCTTAACGGAGACCGTCGAGCTAACCCTCAATGACCTCATGCTTATAAAAATGGATGGACCGGAAAGCATAAATCTTGAATTTGTCAGAGCATTTGATCAGTGGTTTCTTAAAAAGAATCGTCGTGTCTTTTCTGTTATAACGATGAACTAAATTAAATCATGTGACTGTGAAGTAGGCCTAATCTGTCCTATAAACATTTTTTTATCTGCATTCATTCTCTCAATAATAATTTGTGAACTTTTGCATGGACAGTCAAGGAGATAAAATAATATTCTTGTGTACTATATAAGTACATATTAAACATTTATTTTCATTTTTAATTAACAAACATATGAATAAAAATGATATAAAATATTTGGCTAAAACTTTCTGAATTGGCTAATAAAATTTTGATTTGGCTAAATATTTGGCTAAAGGTTTTAAGAGTCTAGGGCGGTCACTGAATAAGCAATCTACGCTGAATCATGTCAAAACTTAAAACACCGATAACTTCGCTCAGAATAAAGTAATTTGAATAAAATTTTCAATTTATTCATTTTTATACGCCCACATTTTCATGTGAATGTATATTGTTGTCGCCCCTGTCCGTCCCTCTGTCCACAGTTTGTTTGTGGACAGTCTACAGGTTACAATTTTTATCTGATTTCAATTTTTATCTGATTTCGACGAAACTTAAAATATAGATTTATCTCGCAAGGTTCTTAAAGTAAGAGAAACCAATGGCACCTGATTAGATAATTTAGTAACCAAATTTTCAGATCAATCAAAAGACAAGCGCACTCCTCTTATTACTGCCCCGCTTGTTTACTTAGAGCTATATTTGTATATGTTAATATTTTTTTGATAGGAATGACCAGATGACTTTAGACGATAGTGCATTTAGGTAAGAATATGATTTTAAACATTTGATATCCCAACATACCTGTTTAAACAAAGTGACTGAACATTTCAAGTTTCAAATTTAGATCCAAGACACTTTGGCGTCACTGGTTCTAATGAAAAATATCAGGATAGAATAGTAGACTGCAATTGTCTGAATCAAGCCTGTGAGCTACATGATGGATATTTCTTACAAACAGTGAACAGATAGTACTGAAAAGAGTGCAAGTTAGTAGAAAAATGTGTTTGCCGTAAAGCGGAAATTGCAAATTTTCTAAGAAAGTCAAAACGTAATTATTTCTATGTCTTTTGCTCAATAGGTTGTCAACTCACAATTATACGATCATAGGTGTCATTCTCACACTTAAGATTCATTTACACAGGAAATAATAACACAATTACCTCCCTTGTTTTCTATTTTCCACCATGGAGTAGCGATATTCAAACGTTTGAAAATGAAGAGGAAAATGATATTTTTGCCAATTTCTCAGCTGGCTATAGTGAATTATAGGATTAATAGGATTATTCTTTAACAAGGTAGGACTGTTTATGGATACCATCTATTTTCAGGCTTTATTTTAATAAATTTTAAAAAAAAATAACTGAAAAATTTGCAATTTCCGCTTTAAACACAAGGGTGACAGTCACATTGACAAGACTGAAATGGGTTTATCCTTGTTTGTTTCAGTGCTTTATTGATATTCCACAAAGAATCCCACCCATCTGTTTATAAAACTGGTACGTCAGACAGTGGCAAGGAAGGACTTAGTTTATTCGGCAAGTAGGAATTATCACCCTTTTTGTCCACCTCCTTAATTAGTTCTAATTATGTGAGATTGATGAAATTTGGTGTATAGTTTTATTACATCAATACCTTGACTCAGTTCGATAATGAGCATTTTCTGCGCAGGGTAAGCAGAGTGATAAGCAATTTGATTGGTCGAGACTTTGGAACACAATAACTCTCATTCTAATTGAGCTAGATTGTTCACACTTGGTGTAGGTGTTTGTTAGGTGAATGCCTTGATGGAGTTCTAAGATGAGCATTTCCTGCTTAGGGTAAGCAGAGATAAGCAATTTGATTGGTTGATGCTTTGGGGAATGATAACTTTAGTTCTAATTAGCGATAGGCAATTTGATTGGTCGAGACTTTGGAACACAATAACTCTCCTTCTAGTTGAGGTAGAATGTTCAAACTTGGTGTAGGTGTTCATTAGGTGAATGCCTTGATGTAGTTTGATGATAAACATTGTCTGCTTACGGTAAGCAGAGATAAGCAATCTGATTGGTTGATGCTTTAGGGCCAATAATTTTGGTTTTAATTAAGTGAGAGTGATGAAATTCAGAGTATAGATTCATTACCATTACCATGACTAAGTTTGATGATGAGAATTTTCTGCTTAGGCTAAGGATCGATAAGCAATTTGATTGGTCAAGACTTTGGAACATAACAATTTTGCTTTTAATTGAGGTAGAATGTTTAAACTTGATGTAGATGTTCATTATGTGAATGTCTTGACTGAGTTCAATGATTAACATTTCAAGCTAAAGCTAAACAGAGCTAAGTACTTTTATTGGTCGATGCTTTGGAACCTGATAACTTTGATACTATCTGATAGAGAGTGATGAAACTTGATGTATAGTTGATAATCGGTTTGAAAAAAATAAATGTGCGATTAATTAATATGTGTCATCTATTTATTTTGTTATATTGTTATATTGAAAATGTATTTATTAGAATCCTAAAGTTTATTTTCTGGGGGGTGTGGAGGTAAGACTAAGTGGGTAAGACGCTGGCTCGCTAACCTGGAGGTTGGGTGTTCAATCCCTGCATTGGCCAAGAAAGTTCATCCAGATTTTCCGGCGTGGTTCCCCCCTTGTCAGTGATGTAGGACGGAGGGCCTGACAAGGACAGCTGTCTAGTCATTTGGATGGGATGAAAAACCGAGGTCCTGTGTACACATTTGGCGTGCACGTAAAAGATCCCTTGACAGTTGGAATTCGATATAAGAGTAGGCCGTAGTGTTGCTGTCCGTGCAAAATTTCACTCATATCACACTGTATGGCCTATGCCCGTCTTCATTAGCCCAGTTCGGAGCAGAACAGTAGGACGTTAAACCTGGTTTCATTACATTTCATTTCATTTATTTTCTGGTGGTTTTTTTTATAATGTAAGATATATGATTTTGTTTGCAGGTATCTTAAATAGATGTAAATCACAAATGGGTTCTAGAATGTTACGGTATGTTGATTAGATTATCTGTTCTTGAACTTTCAATTTCCTGTTTGTAAGACAGTTTGCTTTCATATATTATTGTGAAGTAGCACATGTACACTGCCATAGGGAAAGCAATGAATTTCAGAGGTTTCATTTCAGGTTTTGGTTTATGAGACCTTTAAAGAATCTTCAACTAATAAAAGAAAGGCATGATGCTGTGACTTTCTTTAGTTTGCCTCGGAATATAGAGGTCTTAACAACTCTTCAGGATTGTATGAAACACATTAGAAATATTCCTGTATGTAACAAGCTTTGAATAATTTTAATTAATGAAATAAACATGGCATGATCTGGTAGAGTGTTTCTCAGACACTTTTAAAATCAATCTTTCATAAATTAGAAAAAAAATCCATGTACTTTGAAATTCACAGCACAAAATGCTCCATATTGTACAGATTGGTAATTCAGTTTATAAAAAAAAAAGTTATTTTAACTGTATATTAATTAAATTACTGATTGTTATTTATCCATTGATCAGTGTAAAGATTTGATTTTAATTGTAAATTATGTGATAATTATTTCAGAGAATTTTATCAAAAATGGTTCTAGCTCAAGCCAGTATTACAGATTGGCAGGTTATGTATAAGGTAAACAAGGCCATATATTTCATAACACCATTTAAAGTAAAGTTTTATGTTAATATTTTATTTTTATAGTTTGTTTAATAATTTATCGTTAAGGGATAGATAATAGGAAGTCTATTTTGGATAGTCTTTTGTATTGAGTCTAATCCATACATTTCCAATGACAAAGTCTTAAAATTTAGCTTGTTAAAATTGATAAATGGCAGTTGAGAAATCAATAAACATCACCTGATCATAATTCCTTCACAAATACGCTTCTAGATTACTAAAAAGATTGAATTAATTCTGCTAATTGTCCTTATTGGTATTGATTATGAAGTGACTAGTTGTCACCTTGGGGGATTATAATCACTCAAGGTCTATTGACACAGAGATTTGTACATGTTAATATGTAAAACTGTTTTCTGCTATTCACAGACTGTATACCATGCTATTTATATTGGAGATATTTGTCGAGCTCAGGGATCATCTATTGCCATCTTTCAAAAGGTATAATATATGTATTGAAAGATAGTTGTATTGTCTAGTTCACATATTGCAGAAAATTAGGAAATATAATTTATTTTTGAAATCCTCACCTTTAGTGAACTTATTTTTTCAATACACAATACAGTTCTTTTTAGATATTTTGCAAATTTTCAAGGATTGTTCATTTAGATGTAAAAACTAATACTATAAAAATTCAATGTTTTCAGATTGTAAATTTCAAAATCGTTTTGCCGATTTATATTTCATAGAGAACATAGTTCTCAGTAGAATTTTTATATGCCCACATTTTCAGCTTGTGGACCCTATAGAGGTCACAATTTTGATCTGATTTTGATAAAACTTGAAATGCATGTTTATAACCAAAAGATCTTGGTTCCTTTCGATAGTCGCACATATCGGATTGTAACTTCCTGAATTATGGCTCCTGATTGTATGATAAAATTGCGTTTTTAGCTTGTGGTCCCTCTAGAGGTCATAATTATTATCTGATTAAAAAAAAGGTTTGTATATATCACCGTTACACCGTAATGCTGGCTGAGTTCGAATTTTGTGAAAATCGGGCCAAAACTGCTGGACAAAATGGCCGCCCCTCGTAAGCAAATAGTGTAAACATCTGGTATATCAAGGTTGTGGACCCTCTAGAGGTCACAATGTTGATCCGATTTTGATTAAACTTGAAATACATGTTTATAACCCAAAGATCTTGGTTCCTATCGATATTCCCGCTTATCGGATTGTAACTTCCTGAATTATAGCTCTTGATTTTACAAAAAATCAAGTTTTTAGCTTGTGGTCCCTTTAGAGGTCACAATTTTTATCCGATTTAAAAAAAACGTGTGAATATATCACCATTATGCACTTAGATCTTAACTCCTTTTGATAATCACGCATATCCGAACGTAACTTCCTGGATTGTGGCTCCTGATTGTTTGAAAAATCACATTTTTAGCTAGCGGATTCTCTATAGGTCACAGTTTTTTTTCCGATTTTAAAAACCGTTTAAATATATCACCATTCCACCATAATGAAGGTTGAAATCGAATTTCGGGAAAATTGAAATGAAACTGCCCAACAAAATGTCCGTTCTTTGTACGCAAATTGTTTAAAAGTATGTAATACGAAGGTTGTGGACCCTCTAGAGGTCACAATTTTTATCCGATTTTGATGAAACTTAAAACATATCCTTATATCCCAAAGATCGCAGTCTCTCTTGATATTTGCGCATTTCAGACCATAACTTTCTGGATTATTGCTCCTGATTGTACAAAAAATAGCGTTTGTTTTTAGCTTGTTCTCTATCCATCTCTTGCAAAATGTGGGTGTATACTGCCTGGCAGCCGCTGGTTTATAACAGGGGAAGATAGTTCATTGTGACATACGGAAGAACCGTATGGAATTTCAAAATTTTAAAATCATAAATTCCAAATGCATTTTGCCAAGTTATTATTCTGTTTGAATATTACCTTAAAATTAAAAGCATAGTACATTGTTTATAATAGATAGTTGCTGTTTGGGATCTGTTGACAATGACTGTTCAGAGTCTTAAAATATGTAGCTGTAATAAACATTAACAAATGTTGGAGTTGGAGTTACTGTATGCATTAATATACACATTAAACGTACATTACGATGTATTAATTTATTTTTAGGTAGCAAAAAGTTTCTCTGATGATTTGCACAGAATAGCTACATTGATCAGTAAAATAGTAAGTCAATTCTTGATACCTTTTTTAAGCCATCTGCCAGTGGGAGGCTAATTCTGATTTGTTAGAAGATGCTCTGCTGTATAGTATAGGAGCACAAAAGGTACACATTGCAAGAGTGAATTTAGTTTTGATTCTTGAAAGACTCCATTGGCCAAAACAATGGATTTCATTAATAAACATATATTATGCAAGAGCTAAATCTGCCTATTGCAGGTCTTACTTTTTATCTAATTCTTACGTAATGTATCTTTAAAGTCTATAATTAAATTTGAAAAAACCTGGTAGCTTCAGAACTTCCATGAATGAAGTTGTAAGTAGATTGTATGAGTTGAGTTGGAAAAGCACATATTTCTACATTTATTGTCATTTAAGTTTGAGAATTGTAAAATCCATGTGTAAAATCCACGTGCAGAATTTTGATTTACTTCTGGTGTTAAAAGCAAAATGGATCTTAGCCAAGGCTTGCAGGAATGAATCACCCTAAACCGTAAACACTGATGTCTGACTACTCCCACTTGACCTCTTGTTATAACCCAGGACCCAGATTAGAATTTATGCTTACATCATTTGTTATGTTGAGAATATATTAAGTAATTTACCGTGTTGTTTTACAGATTGATTTTGATGAATCTTCCACTCAGAGTAGATTTGTCGTTCGACCTAATGTTGATGCAGATTTAGACGAAAGTAAGATTAATCAAATTATATAACCATGCATCAAACTAGAATTATCATATTGTCTTTCTTTGTTATTTCAAGTTATAGAATAAAGTCTCTGATCATCATTTGAGGTATTTTTAATCCCTTTGCAAACTACACTATTGTGGAAGTTGAACCTCTAAAAGAAATATCAGTCCAAAAGTGGTATAATTTTGTTCAGTATTTACAACGATTTCTTTGGCGCAATATAGCCTGGTTGGTGCTGACGTACCATAAAATTTGTCAACATTTGGCATCCTCTGCAGGGGATATAAATGGGAAATGGTCAAAATAAACCAATGCCACCTATAATCTTTTGGTGGGCTTCTTTTTAATTTGATTGCATCCTAATCGGGAGATTATCTACAATTTAAATTTTGGTTTTGTCTGAAAAAATGTAAATGACGATAAATAGGCTTTATTAATAGCTAGATGTAGGTTCAAATATTAAAATTCAATAGATACATTTACAAACACACATATATGATATAATATCATAAATAACACAATATCATAAATAAATGACAAAATATCATAAATGACACAATAAATGACAGTTTTATCTGTGTAATGTATCTCGTTACAAATTTACAATTACCGTTATGATTTTAGTAGAAAGATGAAGTATTATAAAGCGACCATAGTTTACTCTCTCAATAAATAATTATTTTTGTAGAAAAGAGAACTTACAATGGGCTACCAGATTTTATGACAAAAGTTGCTAGAGAAGAACTTTGTAAATTAAACAGTGATATAACAGAATGCAGTGTAATATATTTACCTCATGTATGTTGAGTTTTCATGTATTCAACTATCATAAATATTATTTGTGTTAGAAAATAGATGATTTTCTGATTGATTAATTTAAATATAAAATACCGATAAGATAAACCAGCCACAGAGTTTATATGGTCCTTAATTTTAACTTCAAAATGTAGGTTATGACACATCAAAATTCAGACTAATATATTTTTGTTTTCACTCCATGTACACATTTCAGTTATGTTACTTGTTAGCCATACCTAAATCTGAGAATATGGTTACCGAGGAAGATTATGAAATACCAGGACTTGATTTTAAGGTTAGTAATAATTAACCTCATGATCTCTCTTTTTAAAGTTTAACCATTTGCATGCCGTGTAGGGCCTAATCCATGCACTTTGTAGTCAGTATTAAAATTATGTCAGTATTAGTGGTGTCTGGTGTGTCTTCCTAGATAGGTAGTAAAATTTGCATGTGGCATGTATTCATCTATTTAAGCCCTTGTCCAAGCTAACAAATAGCCTCATAGTCATAAGTAATAATGGGTATGTCAAATGGTATTCTTCAAACTCTCCTTCGGCTTAGCATTTGTTGATATGTCCACAGTTTACTAATATTTCAAATTCTATAATGATAAAGAGTCATAGATCAGTAATGATAAATTATGAGAGTTAATGGAATCTGATTGTTTCAGTTTTTGTCGAACAATATGCTTCATTATAAAAGTGCAAGAACTAGAGGTATATATATTGCGTTCATTCTGTGTTAAATTTATCGATGCATGATTCTCATTGTTGTTGGTTTTCAGAAATGATAATGTTATTATTTTTAATAGTTTATAAATATTATTGCTATTGCTGCATGCTACATTGCATGTTGAGTTGTGACCTTTCATTTTACATATTGGATAGTTTATTATTAAAATTTGAAATCTATGGCCCCCTGGGGTGTAGGGGGTGATAAGAATATACCCTTCGTATTTCCTGCGAGTCGTAAAAGGCAATGTCTTTGCTGTGCGTTGCGACCCGTGTCGGTGGAGAGTGGAATCCTGGTGATTGAGTGGGGATTTGGCTTGTGAGCCCTTTCTCTGCAACACATTACATTGGCCCATGGTTCACCTAGATGGGAGGTCAGAGTGGCCCAATCTTGACTAATCGCCTTTGGTCGTTTTAGCTCTGTAGAATGTACCCTTTTCCAATTTAATGCTCTGTTGTTTATTCGCTCAGCAATTACCTACCTTTGTGTCCTTATTACATTCTACAGAGCAGCGGCTTGGGTCAATCTGGTTGGAGTACTATTTTTACTTTCTGGCTTGAGTATGCCCCCCGTCAAGCCCTGAGGTCATGCACTGGTTATCCTTGCTAGACCTCCCCATAGTAGGTAGGGCAATGACCTGGGGGACAATGAGGGATGAATTTTAAAAAAATTACGTTCATGGATAACCCAATCCCCCCCCCCCCACCCCTATCAATGAACGACAAAAACAGAAACATCCTAATTCGGAGGACATTTCTAGCATATTTAAAAATAAAATGGCAAAGTCATGGCCAAGGTTTCTCTTGATTGAGATCCCCTCTACTGACTTATCCAAAGTCTCACCATTTTTGATAACTAAGGGCATTGCCGGTGAGCCCAAAGCTATTAAAAAAATGAAAATTGGTACAATCTTGATAGAATGTACAAAGGAGCAGTATGCTACCATGATTCTCAAATCAACAACTTTGGCAGACATTCCTATTAAGGTGTCTCCACACAGATCATTATATTCTAGTAGAGGTGTTATTCGATGTCGGGACCTTGAAGGCAGCAGCGAGGGTGAAATGGTTGAATTAGTGTACGCCGAGGAGATAAGGTGATTCCTACAAGCATCTATATCCTCACTTTTAATCGTCCCGACATACCAAAATCAATCAAGGCAGGTTATTTAAATATACCTGTTGATTCTTATATTTCCACAGTAAGACCGTCTGCAGGGGCAAAGACAACTGCGCTCGTTGTGGTCATAATGGCCACGAGAGTGCTGCCTGCCATGCTGAGTTTTGCTGCGTTAATTGCAAGGGTAAGCATTTTTCTTATTCTCATGAATGTCTAATATGGCAGAAAGAGAAAAGAATCTTAACAGGTAATGTCTATAAACGGAAAATTCCATATTTTGATGCTAGGAAGCAAGTAGAACTTACTTCACTCATTCCCATTGCACCACAAGGGAAATCTTTTTCGAGTGTAGTTAAAGTTACTACAAAATCCATATCTGTTCAGACAGACATAACCTGGCCATATAAACAGAAAAAAACAAAGACTTTGCCTTCATCAGATCATGTAAAAGGGGCCTCAAGCTCCGCTGAGAGCTTGACTCAAAGCACTACCTCTATACCTGATGAGGTTGTATCCTCCTTGCCTCCATCTGGGTTATTGGGATTATTCCCAATACTCCCATCCAAAATAGCAAGGGGGCTCCTCCCTTGCGCTCTTCTAAAGCTGACACCGCTGATTCCAGTTCCAATTGGTCAGGGGTGCAGTTTAAGAGTATCCATCCTCAAAGGAGAAAATAGTGCATTCCAAAAAACATCAAAATTTTTTAAAATTTCGAGAGAAAGATTCAAAGGGTTAAAAAAAAACATCAGTCTCTTTAATAAATATGTGGGGAAGATCTGATGGACGATATTACTGTAGTTGATGTCCATGTAGACCCACTCAGTAAGCCGTCAAAAATTAAATTTCCCTGACAATGCCTCAATTCCATTATTCAATGGAATTGTCTTGGTTTAAAACCAAATTTTAATGAAGTTCAACTTTTAATTCAAAAGTACAACCCTTTAGCTATTTGTTTACAGGAAAATTTTTTGAGGAATTCTGACACTTTGTCTTTTATACATTTTGTTGGTTACCATCATCACTCAATTGGTGATGGTAGAGCTCATGGGGGTGTTTCTATTATTCACAATGGAGATATCCCTCGAGTCAAGTCACCCTCAACTCACCTTTGCAGGCAGTTGCAATTAGGGTGACTTAGCATATTCCTATAACATTCTGCTCTGTATATCTTCCACCAAGTTTATATCTTAATCACAGAGATCTTGATGACCTTGTTGCACAACTTCCTCACCTGTTTATTATTACGGGAGATTTCAATGGTCATCATTCACTCTGGGATAGTCCAGATGATAACAACAGAGGTAAACAAATAGCAGAATTCATTAACATTAATAATTTGCGTTTATTTAATGATGACTCACCTACTTACCTACATCCTGTCACATCTTCTTTTTCTTCCCTCAATCTCACCATTTGCTCTCCGGTCCTGTTTCAGGTTTTACATGGAGAGTAAATGAAGATCTATCTGGTAGTGACCACTTTCCCATCTTGATTGATAATAATGATTCCTCTCCAGTCAAAAGACCTAAGAGGTGGAAGTTGCATAAGGCTGATTGGGCTCTTTTCGAATCTTTGTGTCTCTCTCTTTATTTGATACAAAGGAGTTAGAAGATGCACATGAACCCATGGCCTTATTCACTTCAATTCTTCAAGATGTAGCTAAGCAGGCGATTCCAAAAACCATGACTGCACCAAAATATTTCAGTAAACCATGGTATAACGAAGATTGCAAATCCACTCTTAAAAACCGTGATTGTTTCCTCAGACGACTAAACAACCACCCTTTCATGGACAATATTGCAGCATACCAAATGGTCGGAGCAAAGGCTCGTAGAACCATACGTCAAGCAAAGAAATCTTGATGTCAAGGTTACGTCTCAAGGATCAATTCCTGTACCACATCTAAGTCAGTATGGGATAGGATTCATAGAATTAAAGGTAAAAGTAGTGCTTTATCAGTTAACCATCTAAATGTTGATAATACCATCTTAACAACATTTCGTGATCTTGCTAATTCTCTGGCCAGTAATTTTCATTTAATTCATCATCCAATTTGTCCTCCGATGCCTTTAGCTTCATTAAACAACAACAGGAGAAAAGGCGACATAATTTCAAGTCCCACAATGATGAATACTACAATGATACTTTTTCCATTGCAGAGCTTTGGGATTCGCTAAAGCGAGCTCAGGACACTACAACTGGTCCAGATGAAATACACAACCAGATTTTAAAACATTTACCTTTGCCAACACTCTTAGTCTTGCTGGATCTTTTTTAACCGGATTTGGGTTGATGGGAATTTCCCTCCTTTGTGACATGACGCCACAATAATTCCCATCCCTAAACCAGGTAAAGATCATACGAATCCTACCAACTATCGTCCGGTCGCTTTAACTAGCTGTTTGGTACCTTGAGTCCAACAACCTCATTACTGAGCTCCAATATGGATTTCGGTCCAAAAGAAGCACTCTTGATCATCTCATTCGATTTGAAACGTTTGTCAGTGACGCTTTCATCCAGAAGCAACATTTAGTTGCAATGTTTTTTGATCTGGAGAAAGCATATGATACCACGTGGAAACATGGTATCATGCGCGACCTCCATCACCTCGGCCTACGAGGTCGCTTACCTATCTTCATTAAAGGCTCAATACCACTCTTGTTGTAACTGAATAATATGTCCCAATCTTTATTCTGGTCAACAAATTGTACTCTTTTACAATATTCCAATTAATTGATGATACAAATTTCATCTTAACACACCTAATTTAAGAAATTGGAAAAATTCAACTAAATGATTTGAAAAGCCTGACGTAAAGCTTTTCATATGTGACTTGGATTTAAAAATATTTTTGAACCCTCTGGACAAGTAAAATAGGATTTAATGGATAATTTACACAACAGGTAGGACACTAACACATCTAGTACTTAGAATAAGGCTATTTTTTATTTTCTGGAGCTGTCAAGCCAGCAAGAGTGTTATTGTCCCTTTATAAATTTTCTGGAAGATAGGTCATTTAAGTATTTTATCTCCAACACTCTTTGCGATAAAAATTAATACTATTCCAGTGTGCCTTTAACCAGGTACAAACGGCGCTCTTTATGTTGAAGAGTTTCAGATGTGCTATGGTTCTACAGACATGCGGATAATCGAATGTAAGTTGCAGCTTTGTTTGAATTCACTTCAACAATGGGCAACCGAAAATGGATTTTGTTTTTCGAAATCCAAGACAGTCTGCTACATTTCTGTCAGAAACGAGGTTTACATCCAGATATATGCCCACATTGAAATGTGGTCGTATATTATCGACGCCCCCGTCCGTCCGTCGGCTCGGCTTCCAAAATTGTTTGTGGACGCTCTAGAGGCCAAAGTTAATATCTGATTGACTTTAAATTTATACACAGTGTTTAAGGTCATGAGACGAAAAAGCCTATTTTCAGCGATTTCCGATAATTACTGCCAGAGTTGTGACCCTTTATCACTTCAAAAAATCTTGTGGACGCTCTAAAGGCCAAAGTTAATATCCGATTGACTTTAAATTTATACACAGTGTTTAAGGTCATGCGATGAAGAATCCTATTGATTTTCAACGATTTCCGATAATTACTGCCAAAGTTATGGCCCTTGATCACTTTGTGACGCTCTAAAGGCTAAAATTATCATCCGATTGACTTCAGATTGATACACAGAGTTTAAGATCTTGAGACGAACAAGTATATTGATTTTCAATGAATTTTTATGCCTTGAACAGCTAAATCCATGATATTAAAAGTTTTGTATACAAAACATTAGCATTGGGCAGAACTTTATAAAAACAAACAAATTCTAATGGTTTTCTGATAATTACTTCATGAGTTGTTGCTCTTAATGAGATTTTAGTGTATTATAAATGTTTCATTACCGAAAAAAGTAAAAATATGCGACAACTCTTGTTGACTGCCCGGACGATTTAGCTGCTGTGGGTGCATGTTTCGTTGCCTGGCAACCTATCTTTTATTAATGTAATGGAATTTTGATTACAGACTCTAATATATAAAACTATTATCGGTCACTGCCAGGCTGTTTATTTATTTTTTTAGAATTAGATATTTTATTGGGTGATACACAATGTGAAATCATTGATCATGAGACCAGTATAATGCACAGATTACAGAATACCATCTTAGAGCATTCTCAGGTCATATATGATGTCATGGAATATACAGCAGAATTAGATTGGTAAGTAGTTAATAGTTATTATTAATTTCCCTCATAGCATACTGCATGGCGTATGCCAGTTTTTGTTAGCTGGTTGGTGCAGAAAAGTAGAATGTTAAAAGTTTTAACCCTGATCTTAACATATAGCCATGGTGGACTTAACTTCGGCAATCTCGTTTGAATATTCAGTTATGAATGATGAAATGTAGTACATAAGTAAACACTCTTTTAAATCATAAATCTCATAATAAAACATGATTTCTGTTTTTAAAAGTTTAATGGCCCTATCTACATGCGCAAGAGAATTTCGATATGTTCGTCCACAGATGGTAAAAGAAGATATTATTGATGTACAAAGTGGAAGGTTAGTATCAATTTGTATTATCTAAGGATGGGTATTGTCCAAAGATCTTAAAATATAGCAGTATTGATTTCATAGTCAGACATTATAGTACATTTTAAATAACAGTATGAGTTGTTAGCTATATATTCTTCTCAAACCAGAAGTGCTATCAGATGTTCTAGTGAAGAATAATACCTTACACTACTTATAGCTGTGATGATGGTTTCCACCTGAATTTCAGAAGTTGAAGACTACTGGGTATATCTCCGTATTCAGTGATTTTTGTTTTTCAATAGTTAGTTTGTTACATATGGAATTGATTGCCATGATAATCAACATGAACATCATATATGTACCATATACTTCTGGTTAAATTTTGAAATGTCTGGCAAAATATTAAATTTCTTGCTAGTACAATATGGATAAAGCATATATTTTTTGAAGATAGACATATTCATTGACAAACCTTCATTTAGACTGTCCTACTGTAAGTACTTCTTTGCCTTGCACATGGCATCAGTAATTAAACCTAAAACTGTATGGAGAATTCATATTTGTCCCCCGTCTTTCGAAGAAAGCAGGGAACTATTAAAATGGATTCGTCCGTCTGTCTGACCGTCACACTTTTTGGGACACAATAACTCTCCTTCTAATTGAGCTAGAATGTTCAAACTTGGTGTAGGTGTTTATTAGGTAAATACCTTGATGGAGTTCGAAGATGACCATTTTCTGCTTAGGGTAAGCAGAGATATGCAATTCGATTGCTTGATGCTTTGGGACATGAAACTTGGTGTATAGTTTCATTACATCAATTCCTTGACTAAGTTCGATAATGAGCATTTTCAGCTTAGGGTAAACAGAGCCATCAGCAATTTGATTGGCTGAGATTTTGGAACTCAATAACTCTTCTTCGAATTGAGGTAGAATGTTTAAACTTGGTGTAGGTGTTTATTAGGTCAGTGCCTTGATGGTGTTCGAAGATGAGCATTTTCTTCGTAGGGTAAGCACAGATGAGCAATTTGATTGGTTGATGCTTTGGGACACAATAACTTTAGTTGTAATTAAGTGAGAGTAATGAAATTTGGTGTATAGTTTTATTACATCAATACCTTGACAAAGTTCGATAATGAGCATTTTATGCTCAGGGTAAGCAGAGCGATAAGCAATTTGATTGGTCGAGACTTTGGAACACAATTACTCTTATTCTAATTGAGGTAGAATGTTCACACTTGGCGTAGGTGTTTATTAGATGAATGCCTTGATGGAGTTCGAAGATGAGAATTGTCTGCTTAGGGTAAGCAGAGATTAGTAATTTGATTGGTTGATGCTTTGGGAAACGATAACTTTAGTTCTAATTAAGTGAGAGTGAGGACACTTGGTGTATAGTTTTATCATATTTACCATGACTAATTTCGATGATAAGAAGTTTCTGCTTAGGCTAAGGAGCGATAAGCAATTTGATTGAACAAGACTTTGGAACATAACAACTCTGCTTTTAATTGAGGTAGAATGTTTAAATTTGATGTAGATGTTCATTAGGTGAATGTCAAGACTCTTGACGGAGTTCAATGATTAACATTTCAAGCTAAAGCTAAGCAGAGCTAAGCAATTTCATTGGTCGATGCTTTAGGACAAAATAACTTTGATTCTATCTGATAGAGAGTGATGAAACTTAGTGTATAGTTTATAATCAGTTTTATTGCTTGATACTTTTGAAAAAAAATAAACGTGCGAGTAATTAATATGTGTCATCTATTTATTTTGGGGACATCAGCCTCACTGTTGGCTTGTTATAATCTACAGTAAACTTCGCATAAGTCGGATCTAAGTGGACTGACCAATTTTTTCCGAGTAAAGCGAAGATCCGAGGTAGCCGAGGACCGAAATTCAATTGTAGCTCAGAAATAAACTGCAAGAGCCGGATAATAACTGATTCAAAGTAGTGCCGATTAATCGGATGCCGTATAAATTCTATAATGTCAATGTCTGTATTGCGTTGCGAGTTTTTATACGCCCACATTTTCATGTGGACGTATATTATCGTCGCCCCTGTCCGTCCACAATTGTTTGTGAACAGTCTACAGGTCACAATTTTTATCCGATTTCAATGAAACTTGAAATATAGGTTTATCACCCTAAGATCTCGGTTCCTTTCGATATTGGCATCTATCGGACCGTAACTTCATGGATTATGGCCCCTGATTGTACGAAAAATCACGTTTTTGGCTTGTGAACACTGTAGAGGTCACAATTTTTATCCGATTTAGTTGAAACTTGAAATGTTAGTTTATAACCCAAAGATCTCGGTTCCTTTCGATATTCGTGAAAATCGGCCCAAAACTGACCGACAAAATGGCCGCCATTCGTTCTCAAATAGCGTAAAAATATGGTATATCAAGGTTGTGGACCCTATAGAGGTCACAATTTTTATCCGATTTTGTTGAAACTTGCAATGTAAGTTTATAACTCAAAGATCTTGGTTCCTTTCGATATTCGCGCATATCGGACCGTAACTTACTGAATTATGGCCCCTGATTGTACGAAAAATCGCGTTTTTAACTTGTGGACCCTATAGAGGTCATAATTTTTATTCGATTTAAAAAACTGTATTATTATATCACCGTTACACCCTAAGGACGACAGAGTTCAAATTTCATGAAAATCGGCCCAAAACTGACAGACAAAATGGCCGCCCCTCGTTCTCAAATTGCGTAAAAATATGGTATATCAAGGTTGTGGATCCTATAGAGGTCACAATTTTTATCCGATTTTGTTGAAACTTGAAATGTAAGTTTATAACTCAAAGATCTTGGTTCCTTTCGATATTTGCGCATATCGAATTGTAATTTCCTGAATTATGGCCCTTGATTGTAGGAAAAATCACTTTTGTTTTAGCTTGTTTTCTATCCATCTCTCGAAAATGTGGGCGTATCCTGCCTGGCAGCCGCTGGTTTTTCTTGTGATTGTTGATAGGTAAATTATAAAATGATGCGTGAACTCTGAATATCTGATTGTATATTATTGAGCTGAGTAAGACATTCCCGTGTTCTGACTTACCCCTACAGCTTTAACTTCTAATTAAAAATCCAATACCGGCAATAGATTACAATTCACTAGTACAACAATTCCCCTACATAATATTTTAAGATATATAGGGATAATCATTGACGAAAAACAACTACAAAAGTCGCAGAAGACAGTACAAATAGAAAAAAAAACATGTCTCATTTAAAAAGGCAGCAACATATTCCGAGGGGGGCGAATAGAAGATCCTCCTGACTGGTAATGTCAGGAACTCATTTATTCGTTGTCTCATACACAGTAACGGCACATTCTGATTGTGAATTCAATAATAAATTACAACTGAATATAAAATTAATTTATACTGGAAGAATTTTGATTATATTGTTGGAGCATTGTTTTCTTCTTTATAAAACGGTATTTTATTAAAATTAGATCAAATGGACCGAACATTTGGATCCGAGTTGAGCGAAGATCCGACATGGAAATCCAAGTTACGCGCAGAAATTTAATAAGAAAACCGTGCAGGATCGTTGAGCGAAGATCCGACTTATACGAATCTGATTTATGCAAGGTTTACTGTATTTGAACTTTTCAGGCATCCTGTACAGGAGATATGTTGTAGTCAATTTGTACCTAATGATTACTGTAGTAAAAATGGTGAAGGAAAGATAAAGATTTTAACTGGGCCTAATGCTTGTGGTAAAAGTGTCTATCTGAAACAGGTAACCCATTTAGTTACATGTTACATCACTAAATTAAAATACAATTACTGTAACAAGACTAAATGAAAATTGCTGTGGAAAATAGATTTTTGTTCTTGGTATGCGACCTCACATAATTTTGGGAACACGTTGGTCCAAACAATGGTTAAACTGAATGTTTTTTTTTATTGATATATAATAATATAACTAAACCTATCAAATGTATTTTGATTTTTACCTGGTAAATCTCATAAAAGATTAAAAAGATAATGAAGAAAAATCGCAGGTAAAATGTGATAAATTATCAGTCACGAAAACCTATGCAAAGAAGGAAGTCCGACAATATATAACACACATATTATTTTTTGTGGTAACTTGTTTTCCATTATTAAAATTGAATTAAAATTTGCTTGTATTTCAGGTAGCTTTAATAGTTTATATGTCTCATATTGGAAGTTTCGTACCAGCAGAAAGTGCTACCATTGGTACTGTCGATAGGATTTTTACTCGGATTAAATCATTAGAGAGTGTGTCCATTGGTCTTTCAACATTTATGTTGGATATCAGTCAGGTTAGTAGAAGACATGAATTCTAATAAAGCAGACAAATATAACAAAATTTCTTAGCTAATTGGTGGATTTCTGTTCTTTGGAGTTTGACTAAGATATATATTAACATGCAGTCAGTATAGTGTAAATGTTTGTTAAATGTGTGTATGTTATAGTCATATCCACCCTGTTAAAGCTCTAATCACTGTAGAATATTAGAGCTTTAGGGGATCAGACAGCTAACTTATCTTATTCTTGTATAAGTACATAAATAGTGTACATGTGCCCTTATTTTCAGAAGGGGGGGGGGCACAGTGGGTAAGACGCTGGTTCGCTAGCCTGGAGGTCAGGTGTTTGATCCCTGCATTGGCCGAGAAAGTTCATCCAGATTTTCCGACGTGGTTCCCCCTTGTCAGTGACGTAGGACAGAGGGCCTGACAAGAACAGCTGTCTAGTCGTTCGGATGGGATGTAAAACCGAGGTCCTGTGTACACATTGGCGTGATGTAAAAGTAGGCCGTAGTGCTTCTGTCTGGGCAAAATTTCCCTCATAGCACACTGTATGGTGTATGCCTGTCTTAATTAGCCCAATTCAGAGCAGAAGAATAAGACATTAAACTCCATTTCATTTCATTTATTTACAGATGTCAGAAGCATTAAATTGTGCAACAAACAGATCTTTAGTCATGGTTGATGAATTTGGTAAAGGCACTGAATCGGTGATCATTTATTCTATAATTTTAAAGAATAGTAGTCTGCTCGAAATCAAACAGTCTTGAAATAAAGTTGAAATACTTACATTTGTATACTCACTTTAATAAAATATATACCTAATTGACATGTATCATCATTAATATCATTTTCAACTGAATAAATATATGGACTTGAAATGTAAAGAAGATTGCTTTTACAATTTCAGATTGATGGCTTATCATTATTATGTTCTTCTTTACGCTATTGGCAAGCTATGGAGAATTTATGTCCACATATTTTAGTTTCTACTCACTTTCACAGTATTATACATAGACAAATACTGCCTCAGACACCCCAACTTAAATTTCTGGTATGTTTTAAAATCTCATTATGCCGTCGTCCGTGTCTCTGTGTGTGTGTATGTATGTGTGTGTGTCGCCTGCAGGGCACAATTCTTTATGGATTGTCTTGAAACTTTGCATACTTATTCCTTATACCATAAGGATGATCCCTATTGTTTTTTTGTGCATGCCCGACCCCCAGGAGTAGAGCCACGCCATTTTTTGTACTTGTTTGTCACCTACAGGCCACAATTCTTAATTGATCATCTTGAAACTTTGCATACTTATTCATACCCTAGTATTTTTGGAGTATTCCTAACCCCCATTAGCAGAGCCATGCCCATTTTCTCTTTGTGTGTCTGTGTGTTGCCTACTGGCCGCAATTCTGAATGGATAGCCTTGAAAACTTTTCATACTTATTCCTTATTGTCCTGGTGGAAAATCACACCTTTGGTCAGCTTTCCTTGTCTTTTGGTCTTAATTTCTTGCCTCAACTGCCTTATAAGTGCTGCATAGTATCTACCGTTAATTGTTTGATCCTTTTGGAGGTAATCCTCCATGAGAACACCCTCAGAACCCCAGAATAATGATTCCATACTGAAACAGTCTTTGCCTTCTTTAGGGTCGGCGACGTCACATGTTTCCACTGTTTTGACTGCTCTTTTGTTTCTGACTGAAAGTGGTGGACCCAAGTTTCATCCATAGTAACAATTTGTTTTAGGAAGCGGTCAGGATCAGTTTCAAATAAGGCTAGATTCCCTTCTGACATGATGTGTCTTGAAACGCTTTTGATCAGGCGTCAAAAGCTTTGGCACCCATCGTGCTGAAACCTTTGTCATTTCCATAGTTTCAGTAATAATAGAATGAACTCTCTCCTGGCTAATACCAACTACCCCAGCTATGAATCTTTCAGTAACTCGCCAGTCATTCATTATCAGATCATGGATTTTTTGTACCATTTTAGGTGTTGACACAGTTTTTGGTCGACCAGGGCGTGTTTCGTCTTCAATGCTGTCTCGACCACGCTTGAATTCAGCTGACCACCTTTTAATTGTGGCATATGAAGGATCATCTTCTCCTAATGTCTCAACCATGGCTTTCGGTGCTAGACCCTTTTTATGCAGATACTTAATCACAGCTCTCGCCTCAATATGGTCCATTTTCTGATAACAACAGATCCTACTTGATTGTTATGACCTGTCACAACCAACAGTTTAACCGAATGTGATGAAAGTTTGTGACAGAGTCCGAGAAAGATAATAGTGCATGTGCAAAACGTAGTATAATTGTGTTGCACGGTTTTTCAATCGAGGCTCACTACTTGTCAATCACCCCTCGTAGTACCCCATTGCAGATGATCTCATGGGAATCATATGTAAAATAATTCTCTGGGTTTATTTTCAGACCCTTGATACACTGCATAATGGGGAAGATCTTGTATATTTATATCAGATTGTTGAAGGTCATACCAGTTCTAGCTATGCTAGTCATGTTGCTGCTAAAGTTGGACTACCTCAAGAAATAGTTAAACGAGGAATTGAGGCATGTAATATAGAGTTAGATCCTTGTGCCTGTCTGTCCATCACAGTTCTTGTAAACATGCTTCAAGTCAGTTTTTTAAGCCCACATATTTTCATCCAATTCTTTGTATTCACTCAATAGATCAGAATATTTTAGATTTTTTTTTAGTGTGGACTTATCAACTACTCATAGACATAAACCCTGTGCATCAGTTAAATGCAGTTATTCAATTATTGTCCTTGTCATTGAATTCTTGCTTGTAAATCATCCTATATGCCAGATTGTAGATTTTTGGGTGGGGGTTCATGTCATAAAATGGTTTTTGTTCCTTCTGTCGTACACTTCAAACTTCTGAGTTACGCTTCAATTAGTTTTTAGGGTCTTATTTTAGGTTTTTCTTCGTTTGTTTGCATTCGGTTTTTAAAGAATGATCTAATTAATTAAGTTTTAATTTAAAAATAATTTCATATCACAGGTATCTGATTTATTGAGGAAGAAACAGCCAGTTCACAGAGTTGATTCAGAAAGTACAGAAAACAATTTCAAAAGGTATTTAGCACACTGTGCTTTTTACAAGGTTTTATTCAGTTCACATGAGGAATTCTTTCTCTGATTTTATTAAATCAGTACATCATTCCTTGAAAATAATGACCTCACCAAGGTATTTGTCTCATATATTTCTGTTTACTGCCTATTTGATTGACAGATACCAAATTCATTTGGTAAAGACCAAACAGAGATAAAGACAACGCAATCAATGAGTAATTATTTATCACAATGGGACTAGAATTTGTTTGGATGGATGGGTGGGTAAGTGGGTTAAAGGAGATTTTCACATTAACAACATTAACAGCATATAATAGAATCACTGATTAACTGAAATCAAGTGTATTTTTTTTTTGTTACAGGTGTCAAGCAATTGTTTCCAATTTCCTGGAACTAGATTTGGACAACGATGATGTAGAAAAATTCCTTAAAGAATATGTTTTAACTACATACAAAGATTAAATAGTAGTTTTGAAACCACTTTCATTATACAGTTCCAAGGCATCCTTTATGTAAGCTATTGAATATATTTATTCCCTTTAAATCCATGTGTTTTGTATTTACAATAATGTGCATACAGTGAAATCCCTCTTTAACAACCTATCAGCTTTAATCTTCTTTGTATTTGTTAACTGCTTAACATTTTAATTCTCCAAAATAAACAACTAAAACACTCTAATTTGAAGACATTAACTAGAGACTGTCTTTATTTGAAACTTGTTTGTTAATAGTGCTATTATCATCAAACAATTTTTTTGAACGGAATTTGTCAGCTATTTCTTCAATTGTTCTACCTTTGGTTTCAGGTAATTTTTTATAAAAATAAATAAAAAATAGTACCAAGGAAGATGCAAATGGAACAAATGAGTATTGTTTGATAAATTCCTGAAAAAGAAAAGACATAGAAAGTTACAGGCAATAACCACTAAGAACACAACAACTGTAAATGTACACCATTTTTCTCTGTGTACAAAGCCATGCGAAACTGCCATACTTAAAATGAAATTTGAAATTCAAAGTATAATTCTTCCCAATTTTTGAGTGACATGTTAATTTGGCAATAAAATTTTATAAATTCCTAAAGAAGGCTCTTACTTGAATAACAGGAAACAATAAAGAAACTATAAAAGCAGACAATGAATTAAAGAATATAGCAACTGTCATGGCTGATGATTTGGACTCCTGAGTAAACATTTCAGCCACCATAAACCATGGTATGGAGGCTGAAAAAAATGGAATGGGGTTGCTGAACACTTTATTAACAAGGTTAATTAGACTTAATATTTGATCATTTTAAAAATTGGGTGTTTTTTTCACAGGAATCTGACCTTCTATTCGTATATATATGTATACACCATACTCAACTAGACAATATATAATAAAAAAAAGAACAGGAATGCAATGCCTGTTGAAGCCTCGATTTTACCTGCTCTCGCTTCGGTGCGATTTTTTTTCCAACTATTCGTAATGTCAGGCAATCTAACCTCTGCCGATTCACTCAGATATGTATTTTCTTCAATCTAGCCATTTTGATTTGCATAAATACTCCCCACAAAATCATATCATAGCTACTTGTTTCCAACATTTACATTATTTTCGTTCGTTAACGTTGTCGTTGACTCCATGCGCTGATGTCACACAAAATCGATCCGCAGTAAACAGACCATTGAAACAAGGGCCAAAGATATTTTTAGTTTTTCTCTCCCTTTCCGTTTCCCCCCTTTTGCATGGCGATTTTTGTTGACTTTTGGTTGTAGAATTGAAGAAGAAGCATTTTCTGCCAGGTTTTGGTGAATATTCATGATTTTGAGGCGAAAGGATACAAGACTTCAGAGGTTGGTTAGGTTTTTCTGTGACGTCAGCGCATGGAGTTGATGACAAGCGTTAAAGAACGAAAATAATGTAAACATTGGAAACAAGTGGCTATGATATCGATTTGTGGGGAGTATATATGCAAATCAAAACGGCTAGATAGAAAAAAACAACATATCTGAGTGAATCGACAGAGGTTTGATTTCCTGACATTACGAATTGTTGAAAAAAAAAAAACAGCCGAAGCAAGAGCAGGTAAAATCGAGTCTTCAACAAGCATTGCATTCCTTTTCTTTTTTTTATTATATATTGTCTAGTTCGGTATGGTGTATGCATATATATACGATTAGAAGGTCACATTCCTGGGGTTTTTTGTATATTTATTTGTAACAATTTTAAAACCAAAAAAAAAGACAAGACAAGCTACAAATAATGTATTTACCTGGCCCAGTATTAAAGAAAAGTGTGTGGGCAAATACTCCTATGATTGAACCATAGGATAACCACTTAATTTTTTCCTAAAAATAAATAAAATATACATATAATTTTTAATTGATGATTAATTGTGAAATTATGTTAATGTTTGAAATTGTTTAATTAATGTTAAAATAAAACCATAATAAAACCATTGAACAATAACAATCCACCTTGAAGTTTATTCAACATAAAGTAAAGTATAGTTGTTAAAAAGAAAGGAAAAAACTAACCTGAAAGACCAGGCATACTGTTAAAAGAGAGAGACAGATTGCCATTCCCCCAATACCAAAAAGAAATAAATTTCTTCGGCCTGACTTTTCTATTAAACCTGTAAATACTATACACATTACTGCCCCACCCACACTTAATCCTAATGCTAGGTATGAAGAGGTTTCTAAACTCTTTATAACTTGATGAAAGACGCTTGTAGAATAAGAGGCTGCCTGCAAAAGAAAAAAATTCAATCAAAAGTCCAATTAGTAATCTTAAATTATGTGAACTCAGTCTTGAATATGTACTACCATAATAATTTCAGGATCTATAAAGCAATACAAATACAACGAATAAATTTGCTAGTGTTATTTCAGAAGCGGGGTTGAGTAGCTGGATGGTCTAACACATGCAATTTAGATTAAATGGTTTGTCATTTTGTCAAGTGGCCCCAGCTTCTAGATGACAAGACCACTGTTAGTATAAAGACCCTCTATACACAAGCAAATTATTGAAATAAAATTGAACCATATGTTGGTACCGAAATGATGCCATCTTTTCACCTCTCTCTCTCTTAAGTGTTTACATTAATAATTTTGTTTCTTTATTCAATAAAGATTGGTTTTTTTTTTTTTTAAAAAAACTAAGAAACTGATATTGAACAGACTATACATTTTAAAGGTACATTCCCGGTTACGGATAGTAAAGTGTACCCAGAACTATTACCAACACCCTGAACTGGAGGGTAATAATAAAAGTAACTTACAGCTACTATACCAGAACATTGTTGCGCGATATTAAGCATAATACATATAACCAACGGTCTTCTAAAATCCTCATTTCGTATTAAATCTCCAACTGAAAACTATATACAGGTTTTAAAAGATAAGTTTATAAGTCCAAAATTGTCCAACAACAAATGTTTTAAGATTTCTAACGCCCATCAATCATTACGAATATCAAATGAAACCCAATTGTCTCCACGTCTGTAAACTCGAGATCCTTGTATTATGTCACATCTCGAGGAAGTATGTTGGTTCTGTTGAGTTCCCTACAGATATAATTCAACTCCAAAAATCTGCTTATTTCAAGCTGATTAGACTGTCAGTATAGTTTTCCTAAAATTATAGCATGCAAGTGAATTTGGGGCACACACATCGTAAGACAAGAATTATAGGTGGGAAAAAATCCTTTAACATACCCTTTTTTGACGCTCAAGATGTTGTAGCTCTATTTTCATTTCATTTATATCGTCACTTACATCATGTGTTCGACGAAACCATCGTAATGCTAGAGAAAACAAATTGTCACATAAAACCTGGGTATTAGGCCATAGCAAATGTGTCCAGATATATTGTTTTCAGTACACTAAAAGTCATTTTTAGGCCAATATTGGGGCAGTAATTAGAGACTTTCTTGTAAAAAGTGCTATTTGGACAGTAATTAAAGATTTTCTCCTTGCAAAAGTAGTATTTTTAGTCCATGTTCAGGAATACTTTTAGGCAAAACATTTACAGCCCGTCATACCATGTTTGGGTTTGGTATGACTATTGCATACAATGAACTCCAGTAAATTTTTGCAGTTGATTCAAATAGGATGAAGTAATATAATAGTAAGTACAGTACACTTTTCAGCTGCTTCTTGATCCTTGCGGGTCAGCATCAGAAATCGTGGACTCTCAGGACAGAATGGTAAAGTACATAACTGAAAAACTGCAAGTAAAGCCGAAAATGCTGAAATGAAATAAGATAAAATTATTATCGGGAGGATGCCGTTTAATTGTAATTCGAATGAAAATGCATCCATACACAATGACAAATTAATACAAGGTGGATTTGGGGATATTATTAGCATGTTATAGTGACTGTTGAATCAAGAATATGATGATACTAAATGAGGGAGCCACGGTGGCTAGGTGGTTAAGATGCTGGCTCGCTAGCCTGGAGGTCGGGTGTTCGATCCCTGCATTGGCCGAAAAAGTTCATCTGGATTTTCCGACGTGGTTTCCCCTTGTCAGTGATGCAGAACGGAGGGCCTGACAAGGACAGCTGTCTAGTCCCTCGGATGAGACTAAAAACCGAGGTCCCGTGTATACATTGGAATGCACGTAAAAGATCCCTTGGCAGTTGGAATTCGATATAAGAGTAGGCGATAGTGCCGCTGCCCGGGCAAAATTTCCGTCATAGCACACTGTATGGCGTATGCTCGTCTTCATTAGCCCAGTATAGGAGCAGAACAGTAGGACGTTAAACCCCATTTCATTTCATTTCGATACTAAATGCGCCTGTCCAACCTCGTGGGTTTTCTCCGGGTCCTCCCACTGCTAAAGACCCCTACGCGCAAGCAAATTATTGAAATAAAATTAAACCATATGTTAGTCCCAAAATGACCTAGTTTGTGTCGAGTGGACGTTAAACACCATTTCTCTCTCTCTCTCGATACTAAATGAAATTGATTAAAGACACAATCTGATTACAACACAGATCCTACTTCGTTCCGTTTATAGTTCAAGATTTCGTTTTCCTTATCTTTACTACGCTAGGATCTGGAAGAGTTGTTATGTAACCCACGTTCTGGTTGATGTGACGGATTAGCCAATGAAACGGTCTGTTACGATGAGTTTTTGGCATGCTGTGCACCGAACTGTGGGTATTCCACTAGAAACATCAACGCTGATTGGTTAATCAAATGTCTGACGTCATAGGTTCAAAAGCCGCTCGTATGACCCCTGACGCGACCTTCCACTACAACCGATCAGATCTTCATGTAGTAGAGCCCATCGAAAGTATAGAAAAACAAAACAAAATATAGCACTGTATTTTAATCAGGTTGATTAAAGACACTTACCAAACATTAACGGAAATAGTTCTTCTGTTCCAAAAATTTGTTTTAATCCCAACACAACTGCTATAACTACACTAATGCCGATACCAATCTGATGTCCTGATCCTATGTAACCACGGGTAGATATTGGAGATATTTCAGTTAGATAAACTGGTACGATAGTAGAATTTATGCCTAAGGATATATAATAGTCAGAAAATTAATAACAATGAATTTTAAAAAAATAACCTAATAATACTGTTAAAAAACATTTTGTCCTTTGAAACTATAACGAAGTCGGCTTTAAGTATTGAAATGACAAGACATCTTCAAGGAATGGTCGGCAGAACCAATGTTAAAGTAGCTAAGTCTCTAACTCAATATCATCCAGTCTTCGACATTAAAAACACGAATTATTTGTCCATGTAAATCAACATTCATGTTGCAATCTTACCGGGAAAAGATGGGCATCTGATATCAAATATTTAAGACAAAATAAACATTTTACCATTGGTAAACGAATCGTGTACTGTAATGCGTTTTTGCGCCATTTGTAACAAGGGACTCGAAGAACGAGGCTAGACAAATTCCACAATTCATGTCAAACGGTGACACCATATTTTTATCTGGAGAGTATGCGCAATAAATACTTTCGGTGCAGACTGGTATAACCAGACGCTAGAGATTGCCATTCGACTGAGACTTCTGGCGTATTTTGCCGAATATAACTGATTAGAAATTACATTAAAAACAGAAATGATTGAATGTAAATCAGTTTATATACATTCATATAAAATTATTATATGCGTTGCGACCCATTTGTGTCAATTTCTAGTTCCCAAATATTAGCGATTTAGCTCCGTTAAACATTCAGTAGTATCCCAATTTTCAAGACATCGTCTACTAATCAAGTCCTACCAAGTTCTACCCCATTCCTATATATAGTAAGCTCAAGAATACCCCTAAATCACTTCAGTGGAAGCGACCGTTGAATAAAGCTATTTAGTCGGGTCAATATGTGGAAAATACCCTCAACCCCCCAAAAAATGCTACAAAAGGTTTCTCAACTGATTCTGGTAGGGTTTAGTGTACTTTATAACATACTAAAAGTTGACCAAAGTAGGACCCCTGGAAAAGTGTTTTTTCAAGATGGCGTCAAAGATGGCCACCGAAACGTCTTAAAATGATCATAACTACGTAACTATCAACTCAAATTTGATGATCTTGGTGTCTTTCCCTAGGTTTTTTGGGGACAAAGAACACATTAAGATCATTAAAAATGATGTTTGCCTATTATGTCAAAATTATGCCGCCAACACCTCCAAATGAGCGCAAGTTCATAACTATTAACTCAAATTTGATGATCTTGATGTTTATCCCCAGGTTTTGGGGGACAAGGAAAACATTAAGAGAACTTTGGATATCACTGGGCTGTTCAGTCATTACGAAATTGAATTCAGTATGTTATAAAGTACACTAAACCCTGCCAGAATGGGTTGAGAAACCTTTTGTAGCAATTTTTTGGGGGTTAAACTGTATTTTGACCTGACTAATTTCACACACACAATGACTGCCATTTCTGGACATGGTCTAGTGTCACTTCAAGTCCCAGAGATTGTAAGCCTATTACGTAGTAATTTACCAGCATTGTTTCTTCACTTACTTCCAGATATAACCGATGGAGCCAGTTTTAGCTGTCCATTTATTTTGTGAGAATAGATTTGCGTACAGGTTATTAAGCACATTTAAAAAAATAATCTCATCAACATTACCGCCATTTATACCGGCTATAAATCTTCCTGCAATCATTAATTCAAAACGACCAACCATTTTGGCAAATCCAGATAGAGCACTGCCAATTAATACTAGCCCATTGTTGTAAACCAAAGTAATCTTACTACAAAAAAAACAACAAAACAACGAACATCGGTTTAATTGGTCCAATAAGTAGGGGGACGGGGCGGGGGATGGTCGAATGGTTAGCACATGTGCGTTGTATTATAAGGTCTGTCATTGAGTCAAGTGGCGTAGAATGGGGCAGAAAACCAAGATCCCGCGTGCACGCAAAAGAACCCATATCAGTTTGAACTCGAAATAAAAGTAAGCCGTATCGCTGCTGTCCGGACAAAATTTTCCTCTTGGCGCATTGTGCGGCGTAAGCCCGTCTTCATTAACCCAGTCGGAGCAAATGTAGGACCTTAATCCCCCTTTCATTTATTGACTAAAGAAGCCTAATATAATGGCTTGTGTATTTACTTGATTCTTCGTGTTGATTTTACTGCATCAGAATCTTAGTTTTGATTTTAAGACTTTACTTATACCCAAAGATACCTTGCTTCACGCGTGTTTTATTTTACACTTTAACATAATTTTCTAAATGTATGGTCACCAGAATGCAAATATTTGTTATAATTTTCAATATGTTCTTGATTTTTTTCCCGCCAAAATATTGGGTAGGCCTATATTAATTTTTGAACATTAGTGACTAAATTGATCTAACGTACCTTCCATAATGGTTAATTATTGGTCCAGCGGTTAAAGATCCTATCATGCCACCGATTCCAATCGCTGATGATGTAATAGCCCAAAAGGTTGTAAGTAATTCTTCTGATATCGTTTCATTGTAGTTTGATTGATAACTTTCATTGATGAATAGTTTTAATACCTGGCTCATAGAAAGTCAGAATTTGGTGACCATGGTAGAATATAACCCGATATTATGTAAATCTTCAAGTGACCAAAATAAACTGCAGAGTTTAAGACCATATTTACTGAAAAGTATTCTTAGCAAACAATATGATGATTCTAATATTGAAATGAAGCTAAGAGTTCAGATCATATGTAATCTACTATAAGTATATTGGTCCCACAATTATTCAATTCAATCATTTGAAGTTTACATTAATTTCTATTGATTTGACTCTGAATTCTTTATGTCCCAAAGATCTTTTTAGTATATTTGATTTTGGGGCTAATTTTGAAATAATGAAAATTGTTATTGACCTCCTTTGAACTTTATGCCTTTTAAGTTAGAATACATCTGAATAATTTTGGATCTATATATCTTTATAGTAAACCTAGGCTACTTGTAATATATGTATGCTACTAAACCGAACATCCAGTCTACCTGGCATGTATAGGAGCCAAGGTGGCTAAGTGGGTAAGGCGCTGGCCCACCAGCCTGGAGGTCGCTTGTTCGATCCCTGCATTGACTGAGAAAGTTTATCTTGATTTTCCGGCGTGGTTTCCCCTTGTCAGTGGCGCAGGACAAGGACAGCTGTCTACTCGTTCGGATGAGACAAAAACCGAGGTCCCGTGTATTCATTGGTGAGCACGCAAAAGATCCCTTGGCATAGTGCCGCTGCCCGGGCAAAATTTCTCTCCAACACACATGGCGTCTTCATTAGCCCAGTCGGAGCAGGACAGTAGAACGTTAAACCCCATTTAATTTCATTTCTGACATGTAAAGACCTACTATAAAATTTGGCCCGAAAACTCAATTGGCATTAAAAAAAAACCGTATAACCACATAGATACCATGACAATAATATAACGCTAAATGCACAAATTTTACCTCTTGTGGTGAGTTGGTGAGAGCATTGTTATACCCAACTTGGAACGACGAGCCAACAACACATATTATAGCTGCTAGTCCCAGATAGCAGGTAAAGCCCTTCAATAAAAGGACACATAATAATGGAGTGATTTTCATTCAAGAACGAATTATTGAGAAATTATTCCGCCGAAGTGTCGTGAGAAAATAAAAAAACCCACCCCACCCCGCAATTCTTTATTAGCGAGCCCATGTATTATGAATAAAAATATTATTATATCCAATGTAAGTCTTTTTGTGAACCAAATCTAAAATAATTTCTTACTAACTGAAGATTCAGGTATATCTTTCTTAATTAAAGGTACTTGTTCCTCTTTTTCTGTCGACATCGTAAATCCGCATATTTTTATTATATTTAATTAACAACCAGAATAACGATTTTCAAACAGAACGTAACGGAAATCCAAGTGATCAAATTCTATTCTTAGTCACCGATATATCTCACCTGATCGACCTTAAAACATCATGACCATGTTTATCAGTTTACATTGATTTAAACTTAAAAACTCAATCAATTTATATAGAGATAACACTATAGTTTGCCATTATACGGGTTGAGATTAAGGGGCGTCATAGTGTTCACTGTTTCGTATGCACACTATACGACTCATCTGTATTGCGGGTGGCTCGGTGAGTGTTGGCCGAGAAAGTTCATCGGATTTTTCCGGCGTGGTTGTCCTGTCAGTGGTGTTACTGCATGGCATATTCCCGTCTTTATTAACCCAGTTGAAGCAGAATAGTAAAGCCCCATTTCATTTCATCTCATCTGCGGACAGATTCTAAATCTCTCAGAAAACGGAAATTTTAACGTCTTAAAATTAAAAGTTGGACCACAAAATAGACTACTTCAAGCTAAAACTTGGCCACGAAATGGAATGTTTCAAACTAAAACGTGACCAGGAAATATAATGTTCGTAAACGACACTTGAACACTAAAAGAGGTGTTTCAAAATATAACCTTGGCTGCAACAAGAATCCCCCACTGCGCACAAAATCACAAAATATGACCCCCCCCCCCCCCAAGCGACCAAGTCGTCGGCTTGAGATACATCAGAAAAGAAGCTTTTTTTAAACCTTTATCTTTTCAAGGCCATTATTTATCATGCGTGATCTATTTTGATACAGAATGATGTAGGCAACATTTACTATTAATAAATATTATCATCACTACATGAAGTGTCACAAATTGTGTGTACAATTTTATTTAGCGAATAAAATGAAATGGGGTTTAACGTCGAACTCTCCTGCACCAACCGGGCTAATGAAAACGGGATATATGCCATGTAGGCCTAATGTGCCTTGAGGGAAGTTTTGCCCGGACTGCGCCGTTTTCATTTACTCTTCGTCGAATTCCTACTGCCAGGGTTTCTTTTACGTGCAAGTCGATGTGTACACTGGACCCCCGTTTTTCGCCTTATCCGAACTGATAGACGTTGTTCCTTGCCATCAATGACAAGGGAAACATGATGAAAAATCCCAGGGAATTTCGAACTTTCTCAGCCTACACCGGGATCATCGATTTTTAGCAACGTCCTGCAACCTCCCGTTACATAGTTACCCTGCTTTCCGAAAGTAGGACGTTAAACCCCATTTCATTTCATTTCATTTCCGCTTTCCGACAACATTGTGAACGTGATAAAAGGCTACAAAAAATTTCTTTTAAAATTGTATATAAAGTTTAGGACTGTGAGATGATTAATCTTATTGTTTTCAGCATTCTAGGACTTTTTATTCCAGAGATGTATTACTTGTCCGGAATAGCTTTTTAACACGACAGAGATCAGATTTCTTGAAGTATCATTATTCTATTTCGTCAACAACCAAGTTTACCTATCGGGAAAGGAAGGAAACTGCGGTGGCTCATAGGTGGCCTTGGGTTCGCTCCCGGTTTTGGCTGAGAAGGTTTCTTTGAGATAATCGGCGTGGTTTCCCCTTGTCAGTGGTGACGGAGGGCCTGACAAGAACTGTCTAATCGTTCGGGGGGGGGGGACAAAAAACGGAGGTACCATGTTCACATTGACGTGCACGTAAAAGAACCCTTGACGGTTGGAATTTGATATAAGAATTGGCCGTAGCTCCTTCTTCATTAGCCCTGTCGGTACAGAAAAATAGGACGTTAAACCCATATTTCATTAAATCTTTCCTTTCGGAAAAAGCTGCTATTTATGGTTATCCGTTTTCGAGATATATATAATTAAACTGCTGTGTTGGCGTAATTTCATGCTTTGATTGGCTTTCTTTAATGTAACGATGCGCCAATTGCATTTTCGCAAAAATCTCACGGCTCAATCCCCAAAATTGTAGCAGAGGCGTGCTGGCCTGCTGGAGGCCTCCGAAGAAGGGTGGGCAGCAGGCAGGTCAAACTTAGGACACTTAGAGGGAGGGGGGGGGGCGCCGGAAAATTTTTGGTTCTAACGTTTATCTTAAGCCTGACCAGGGAGGCCACTGCTGCATGCCAATAGGGTTCGTGTTAAAAATTAGAGTATTGACCTTGAGTATGCTAACAGCTAAAAAACGTTCCCATGCATACATGATATGTGATTCGAGTGGGGTGGGGGCAATGCTTCTCACGTTTGTTTGTTCTACGTCATTCCCATGAATTATGTGGGTAGAGAAAACAATATGAGAGGGGGTGGAGGGGCTCTAGAACAAACTGAAACAGAAATCATTTCTTTGGGAACTGTTCATGGAAGGTCTCTAGTACTCCCATAACGAAAGCAGCCATTATCGGTTTGGGAGAAATTTGCATAATTGACATAAATCCAATATGGCCGCCAGTGGACCAGAAAATCGACGAAATCGCCGAAACAATTGACTTTAGTGCAAACAAATGTATTGCCGACCTATAGGAAATCGATACTCCCGAGTTCAAAAATGTAGGAGAAAGAAATACGGTTTTCCGGAATTATGCATTTGTTTGTAAACTTTTAGATGGTTGGTACACTGCTGTATATACTGGTACTGTATATATCACGAAATTAATTCCTTCAAATTATTGTCTCGAGATTACAATGGTGAACCTCATACCATGCTATTAAGTCAGACGTTAATGCAGGCTGCTCTATCTGTGGTAGAAATGGTGAACCCAACGAAAATGTGGGTAAAGAGTCAATTGGGTAATCAATGGTGTATATATATATATAACATAGTACAGATCAAGTTCACGTTTCGTTTTAGGTTAAATTTTGAGGTATTTAGTTGAAGGTTGAAGGTTGGTACACTGCTGTATGTAGCATACATACTAAACTTACGCTGTCTGTCTACTATTAGATCCACTTGAGAACAGACTCTAAGCTAGTTGACCGGCATTTTAAGTCCTAAATCGACGATTTTTGTCGAAACCACTCAGTATTTTGAGAAGTATTTATTCTGCTTCCATTTAATAAAAATGGAAAGATTTAAATAGTCTTTCTGTATATTAAATGAAATGAAATGAAATGGGGTTTAACGTCCTACTGTTCTGCTCCTATACTGGGCTAATGAAGACGGGCATACGCCATACAGTGTGCTATGAGTGAAATGTTGCCCGGGCACCGGCACAATCGCCTATTCTTATATCGAATTCCAACTGCCAGGGGATCTTTTACGTGCATTCCAATATATACACGGGACCTTGGTTTTTTGTCTCATCCGAAGGACTAGACAGCTGTCCTTGTCAGGCCCTCCGTCCCGCATCACTGACAAGGGGGATTTCTGTATATTAAAAAGAGAGTGAGAGAGAAATGGGGTTTAACGTCCACTGGACACAAACTAGGTCATTTTGGACTAACATGGTTCAATTTTTAATTTCAGTAATTCGCTTGCGCGTAAGAGTCTTTAGCAGTGGGAGAAAACTGAGGAACCGGAGAAAATCCACGAGGTTGGACAGGCGACCCTATATCTTGTCACGTACAACCAACCGGAGATTCGAAACCACGCCAGTTGACTCAATGACAGACCCTATGATGCAGCGCGCTCGCGCTAACCATTCGGCCACCCAACCCCCCTGTATATGACAAATGAGAAACGGAGTATAACTAGATTACAAAACAGTATACTAATGTTTGGATATGGCTGACATTTAGGGCAGAGATCTATTTTCTAAGAAGGGATCGAAGTTCCCTGTGTGCAGGGTGTATAGCATAGTTACAGATCAAGTCCGCGTCCATTCATTTGGCACAGCAGCGTTGGAGACCAATTTAGTACAAATTCCTTTTGACGGAATTTATTCGATCTATAAGTATTTTGTTTATATATTCACTAATGTATTCGCGGTATAATCCTGGTTTTGAAATTTTGAAAACCGAATAGAGGCACATTTTAATTTACTACCCCAGCCTCGGAACTTTTGTAAATGGTTTGTGTTAAAATGACTATTTTATCTCCTAAAGAACGTCCATGGACTAGGCGACTGTCCCTTCTGGTGATTTGCCGCCAGTGGGTGTATATTGTGCAAACGTCCAACATGCCTTAATCTGATTGTATTGCTGTCACCCATGCCCGTTTGTCGCTAGAAATCTTCCAAAGTTATGTCGAATACTTACAAAGTTATGCCCTTTTATCACAACACCTTGTAAGCACGATGCGGTTATGAATCCAACTTGGAGAACTATTTAATAAATGTCAGTGAGCTAGAGTATTTCAACCCCCAACCCAACGTTTACCTTATCTGCAGGATGAACGCTATTGATTTTTAACATTTTCCGTTGTTCTATTCCCCAATTATTACCTTTATTGCAAATAGTATACACGCAACCAAGCCGTTTGCTCTCTATGATTTGACGACCGTGTTATTTAGCTGTACATTCTGCACACGTAGTTTTCCCGGTGAGTCTGACCACAGGATTAGCCAAAATTTAACAACAAGAACTATATTTTCAGTAAATGATTATATATTAAAATATTGAAAAATAATTAAAGGGTAAAGACCACCCTGATTTTACATAAAATCAAGTAGGTAGATTTGATTATTATTTCGGAGACGAGGGTACGCATTTGTAATTTTATAACTGTGTGTTCACAGTTTCAGTAGAATAATCAAGTGAATTCGATACGCCATCACTCTCCATGAGTTTTAACATTGCTTTTGTTTTCTTTGATCGAAATTGGTCAGCTATTTCTTCAATTGTCCTTCCCTTGGTTTCTGGCAGTTTAAAGTAGAAGTAAATCCAAAACATTACAATCAAGCCAATAAATGGCACAAACGAATAGTTTTGGATATATTCCTGTAAAATACAAGTTGAATAATGTTAACTATTACCATACATGTTTGCTTTTCCCCGACACCATAAATTGTCGTCAATAATTCCGCCCGCAACTTAACACGTAAAGGTCGATGTGCGGTTACATTTCTCGGTAGAACTGAACACCGATACTATAATATGAATAATATACTACACATTGTGCATCTATTGTTTCGAAATTTAATAATTTCTGGAACAAAAATTTCACAAACTTACTTGAATACTTGGGAAGACAAATGATACTATGGATGCAGACATAAAATTAAAGAATACAGAAATTGTGACGGCTGAAGATTTTGACTGTTGAGTAAACATTTCGGCAACAATAAACCATGGTATGGATCCTACAAAGTAATAAAATACAAAACAAAAGCTTAATTTCTATTTATTAGGGACTGTGGGAATGGTGGAGTAACTTTGAATTGTTCTCACGCCCAATCCGGAAACATTAATCCGACAGACTTTCGGGTAGAGGATGATACAGCCATCAAATTAAGGTTTGGCCATCTAGAAACTAACACAGTGAGTGCAGGAAACCAATTCTTCATTCCAATATATATTCCGAAATCAATACAATATACTGTTATACGTCATTCAAGCGGACATCGATTTGGCTTTTTGGCAATTGATAGACCATTTTAAACCAGACTGAAATCTCGAATGGACGATATCAGGTCGCAAGAGTAAATGCAAGAGGGGCGGATTATCGTAACTATCCGCCCAGGGTAAAGGAAACAATCAGAAAAAAAAAACACTTTACCATAATTAGTGTAGCAGTGGTTGATGAGATGGGATGCTCGTAACCATTGCTTTGGGAATGTTATTGAAGACAACGGGTTCTGATCACCCCAAAGTGCTAACTGGCCAACCTTTATTAGTCCGACCGGTCGCTTGGTTCAAAGCCCAATCATCCGACGCTGATTCTGTGAGCATCATGACAAGGGAATCTTTGGGTATAACAATATCTTACGGTAATATATTGTTACATTCAAATATTCAATAAACTATAAAACATACTTATGGAAGAACAATTACTGATTTATTTAGGCGACGTTTCGAAGAGTATTCTCTCAACGTTTTCAAACATGTAAAGTAACAAATGTGTAGGGAAATTATATATGCCTCTAAAAGATCATCCAAATATTCGATGGTCATAATGCTCACAGATTCTTACCTGGGCCTATATTAAAGAAGAAAACAAAGCCAAAAACACCAATCAGAGAACCGTATTTTAACCAATCAACATCTTCCTGAAATATGAACGACAATGTCTGAAATACATTATAATACCTACATACCTAATCAGCCGCCAAATTGATAAATGTCTGATTTCTGTTCAGATTTTCATTTTGAAAAAGTTTATAGCCCGGCACGTGCACTTTTCATCACCAGTGGCGAATCTACGGTATGACAGGTAGGGTATGTACCCTGGGCTCCGGTGAAGGGGCGCGCGCCAGTGAGAGTTTCTGGAGGTAAGACCATTACATCAGTGAAAGCAAGGAAGGTGTAGTTGTATTTATCATGTCGTGCCATAATTTGTTAGTTAAAATATCAACGAAATTTTGACATGTATACATAGCCATATACAGCTGTTATATTTGAACAGCAGCTTATCCAAAAGGAAAACTTGGATGTAAACCAAATTTAATACGGACGCCTTCATGATATCTGATCTCTGTCGTGTTTAAAAGCTTGAACAATTCGGTTAAAAACTAATGCCTCTAACGACAAAGCGGGAATTATTCCGGAAGTGGAGACCATGGAACAAAAGCTCGCAGAATGACGATTATCAATAAGGTTTATCCTCTCATGACCAGTGCCGGATTAAATCTCTGCTGGCCCCAAGACAGATTTTGATAGGTGGCCTGAAAATACAGATATTTTGGGTTCACCGTTAAAAGGTAGAAATGTTTTCACAGTACTGTAATTACTATAAGAATACAGTAGCTAGATTACATTTTATTTATTTTTTTACTTTATTTTTTTTTGTGGCCAGGATGTTTGACTGGACCTAATTGTTCAAATTGTTAATCCGGCAATGATTATGACCCCAATGCTTCCCCTGAAAAACTATAGCCGCTATCAAGTTTACAAGGTTTTCAGTACAGGGCGGATGTTTATCCTCTCATAACCCCAATCCTTCCCATCAAATTTGGAAAAAAAAAGATCCATCAAAAACTAGACTCTGTCACGTCCGCATGGGTTTTCGGCAAAGGGTGTGTGTGTGTGTGGGGGGGGGGGGTAACCCCGGAACGGAAAGTCGCAGAACGGTGAATATCAATAGGTTTTGTCCTCGCATGGTCACAAAGCTTCATACCAAGTTTGGAAAGGAAAGTCACGGAACGCTGAATATCGATAGGGTTCTTCCTCTCATGACCACAATGCTTCACATGTTAACAATATTGTATTAGGCAACACTGAAACCGTACATAATGCTTGGTGGAGTAAGGGCTCAAATATACAGATCTACGTGTTATTAAACTTGATCTTATTACTTACTTGATAGACAAAACAGAAAGTGATTAAGGTCAAGCTGACGGCCATTCCCGCCATACCAGCCATATGTAAGGCCCGTCGTCCTGATCTCTCCACAAAAACCGTAAATATATCACATACAAGAAAGGCATGTGTACTTAAGCCAACTACCAGATATGTAGATAGTTCCACACTGTTCAATATCTGTGTAAAAATACTCGTCGAGTACGAAGCAAACTGAAATAAAACCCAAGTAAACCTTTCATTAAAAATGAACGACCACCCCTCCGCCTATTTGCCGTTGATGATGTTGTACAGGGTTCAAACATTTCTTTTAGTGACCATCAGTCGACTGTCCACCAATAGCTTTATCGTCCAAACTATTGCGCCTGATACTATTAGACCTGATACCAAAACCTACTTGTGTCATTTTAAACAATGTTACCACAACAGGCAATTCACAAAAGCGCACGGCATTACATGAAAACCGTTTTGGGTATCTTTTTTTTTCATCTATAGCATGGTCACCAATTAATATTTGGTTTAATGATACGCTCTCTTGTTTGGACTAGGATGTAAAAAAAATCTTACATAACTAAAACTAAGAAGATGGCATTTATGAGATTAATTATGTATAAAATATTTTGAAACCTACCGCTGATACACCACAGAGTTGTTGTGAAAGATGAATCATGATACATATAATCATAGGTCCTCTGAGGTCACTATTTCGCATTAAATCTAGTACTGTAAACTAAATCATAGGAAATCTTGAAATTAACATGTTAAAATCCTTACATAAATAATATTGTCGTAATTTTAACAATAATCGTTGCATATAAACAATTACAACATTTTGTCATAGCCAGAGACGAGGCACGGCTCCGCTATTTCAGATGTTTTATCTTCAACAAATCTTAACAGATATCAGGTGCCATGCAAAATACGCCAGGGTAACTCCAAAACGGGAGGTTCGAAAACCTGATTATCGATAGGATTCGTCCTCTCATGATCCCAATGCTCCAAACCAAATTATCCCTCTGAAGGGTCTACAAACGTACATATTTCACATTTTGCTTAAAAGGCAGGGGGCATAACCCCAAAAATGCATAATACGTCGACAACCGCCTGCTCAGCTACATAAAAAAATTGTAAAACAACACGGTTTATGAGAAAAGTGTCACGGTCGAGTGCATTATCCGTTATCATCAGATGGTCATCTATCTGTTATTAAAATTCAACCAGGGGCATAATTACTACCCAATCTGGACAGTAAAACCAATCAGAACTGTTTAAAAGTAATATGCAATAGTATGGTTACAAGATAACTGCCCCCCCCCCCCCCAAAAAAAAATAAAAAAATAAAAAAGATACATTGTCTCAGGAACCTAGCATACCCCCTCCTGCAAAAAATCCTTTATCCGCCCCAGGCTTGGAATGCTTGTTTCTAGGACAATGACGTCACCATTCCAAAATGGCTTCGATGACCAGGGGCGGATCTAGGAATTTTGAAAAGGGCAAAATGAGGGCACTGACCGCGGAAACGGGGCACGCCGCTGAGAGGGTTTTTTGGGGGGGCTTGGAATGCTTGTTTCTAGGACAATGACGTCACCATTCCAAAATGGCTTCGATGACCAGGGGCGGATCTAGGAATTTTGAAAGGGGGGGGGGCGCCGCAAAATGAGGGCACTGATCGCGGAGACGGGGCACGCCGCTGAGAGGTTTTTTTTTGGTCTGTAGTAACCCCAGATATGCGCCGCTGAGAGGGTTTTTTTTTTGGTTTGCAGTAACCCTAGATATGCGCCAAAATGACGTTAGAGACTATCTTTCAAAAATTTCCGATTCCAGTTGCTTGCCCCAGCTAGGGCCCTGGTCCATAGTACGGTGGTACTTGTTGTTCCTAGGGGCGAAGCTCTTCGAAAACAAGCCTATGGCTCCACCAATTCATGAACGATCCACATTCGACATGAAACTTAGCATGCTTGTTCCTATGGACAATTTCGCATAGATTAGAGTTTTTCAATTTTTTATATGACATCACTATTCCAAGATGGCTGCGATGACGTCATACTCGATTCCTGGCCATATTACGATAGTACTTGTTACCTTTTCGGTGCCAAATATTAACTGACAACATATCTTCGAATGTATGCCACCTATTTCCCAGAAACTACGAATATCTTAGGTAATGAGGTTGCAGATCAAATTGTTTGTTTTTAAGCGATCTAATAACAGACACACTTACAATGCAGATTTTGTATGTTTACCTTAAACATTCGTCTCCCAGCATGTAAATTCAAATGTTTTAAATCTTATATCAAATTTAATATATGAACTTAAATCCTTTATATATACATACCCATTTACACACTGAATTTAAAAATAATATCCACATATCAAATATTACAATTTAAATATCATGTAGACGTAAAAGATAAGATTTTTTTCTCAAGGCTCTATTGTATGGAAGCCTATAACTACCATTCATAATTTCTACTTTTCGCCTCTTCAAAACACGAAAGTCGAAAAGTAGAAGTTATGACAAAATGTGAGGCGACAACACGCTATACAAGCCAAAATCAACTCGAAAATAGGAAATTAAGAAATAACACACAGCGATAATAGCGCCCCTCGTTTTTTCCTAATTTCTTATTTTCGACTTGCATTTTGGCTTGTATACCGTCTTGTCGACTTTCGACTTAGTCATATTTTTGTATTTATCAATGTCAGTAAGAAGGCGCCAACACGCATACCAAGCCAAAATGCAACTCGAAAAGTAGAAATTAGGAAATTAACACACCACGCTATTAGCGACTTTTCGACTCGGAAGTTGTTGTAGTCTCAGTTTTCCAGGTCGCATTTGAATACGTGCAATCACGGCTCACATTGTATTTCATTCTTTTCCGTCAATATGGATAATAATTTTTATATAAAAAAAATGTTCAAATTTTTTTTCCGCCAACTGTGATATTTTATCTGCCAAAAATGTCTGATAAAAAAAACACACCTTCGTCTACAACAATTTAATTTTATTATAAGGCCTATTATAAAACAAATTTCCCGTACCGATATATACAATATACAACAACATACATGGGGATTGGGTGGCCTAGTGGTTTAACACGTGCGCGTGAAATCACAAGGTCTGACATTGATTCAAGTGGTGTGGTTTCGATTCCCCGCTTAAACATGACAAGGGGGTAGGGTCGCTTGTCCAACCTTGTGGGTTTTCTCCGCATACCCCAGCTTCTATCCCCTGCTAAAGTTACCCTACGTGCAAACGAATTATTGAAATGATTTAGTTTGAAACGAGTTGATGTTAAGCCGGCCTGGAGGTCGGGTGTTCGATCCCTGCATTGGCCGAGAAAGTTCATCCAGACTTTCCGGCGGATTCCCCCTTGTCAGTGATGCAGGACGTGGAGTTCGGGTGTTCGATCCCTGCATTGGCCGAGAAAGTTCATCCAGATTTACCGGCGGATTCCCACTTGTCAGTGATGCAGGACGCGGGGTGGGGGGTGGGGGGGGCTATTTCCCTTTTTAACGTTTTGCATATTATAAAACAAATTTCCCGTACCGATATATACAATATACAACAACATACATGGGGATTGGGTGGCCTAGTGGTTTAACACGTGCGCGTGAAATCACAAGGTCTGACATTGATTCAAGTGGTGTGGTTTCGATTCCCCGCTTAAACATGACAAGGGAGTAGGGTCGCTTGTCCAACCTTGTGGGTTTTCTCCGCATACCCCAGCTTCTATCCACTGCTAAAGTTACCCTACGTGCAAACGAATTATTGAAATGATTTAGTTTGAAACGAGTTGATGTTAAGCCGGCCTGGAGGTCGCGTGTTCGATCCCTGCATTGGCCGAGAAAGTTCATCCATATTTTCCGGCGGATTCCCCCTTGCCAGTGATGCAGGACGTGGAGTTCGGGTGTTCGATCCCTGCATTGGCCGAGAAAGTTCATCCAGATTTTCCGGCGGATTCCCACTTGTCAGTGATGCAGGACGCGGGGTGGGGGGGGGGGGGCTATTTCCCTTTTTAACGTTTTGCATGTACAATAGGCCTATTGTTAATTGCAGGTACCGTAATGACCCAGAATCTGAATCCCCATAGAAATTTCAATATTATTTGTAAGACATGCTTACAATCATTAGAGAATTTTGGCGGCGGTACTGAAACGTCACTATTCGACTCGTTCTTACATTTCCTACCCATGGTGATAATATAATTTGAAATAAAATAATAATATACAATCGGGAAAACCTGTATATTTTATATGCGGTATGAAACCACGGTAGGCCTAAATGAAATTCAATTATCAATGCGCGTATTCTAATGTGACCTTGAAAGTAGAGACTACATCAACTTCCGAGGCGAAAAGTCGACAGCACGACAGTAAGCCAAAATCATAGGTCGCTAATATCGCCTTCAATACTAGACTTTTTCATACAGACTATTTTGTTAAAGCAAATTGCATGTGTTTAAATGCGACCTGACAAATTGTGACTACAACCACTTCCGAGGCGAAACTCGAAAAGTCGCCAGTACGACAGCAGGCCAAAATGATAGGTCGCTAATAGCGCGTGTGTTTATTTCCTAATGTTTACTTTTCGAGTTGCATTTTGGCTTGGTATGCGACAGTTGTCCTTGTCAGCCCCCCCCCCCCCCCCGTCCTGCATCACTGATAAGGGGAAATCCGCCGGAAAATCTGGATGAACTTTCTCGGCCAATGCAGGGATAGAACACCCGATCTCCACGTCCTGCATCACTGACAAGGGGGAATCCGCCAGAAAATATGGATGAACTTTCTCGACCAATGCAGGGATCGAACACCCGACCTCCAGGCTGGCTTAACATCCACTCGTTGCAAACTAAATCATTTCAATAATTCGTTTGCACGTAGGGGTCTTTAGCAGTGGATAGAAACTTGGGTATCCGGAGAAAACCCACAAGGTTGGACAAGCAATCCTACTCCCTTGTCATGTTTAAGCGGGGAATCGAAACCACACCACTTGAATCAATGTCAGACCTTGTGACATTTTTTTTATATAAAAAATTATTATCCATTTTGACGAAAAAGAATGAAATACAGTGTGAGGTCTGATTGCGAGTATTCAAATGCGACCTGGAAAACTGAGACTACAACACTTTCCGAGGCGAAAAGTCGAAAAATCGCTAATAGCGTGGTGTGTTAATTTCCTAATTTCTAATTATCGAGTTGCATTTTGGCTT